TTCACAGCCGTCCGCAGTGACGCGTGGTCTGTGTAGACCACGAACGGTTTGCTTCCGAGTAGATACACTCGGAACTTCGCGAGTGCGTACTTCATGGCAAGGAGCTCCTTGTCATGTACCGGGTAGTTGCGCTCAGCTGGCTTCAGCTGGCGCGATTGGTTGTAGACGACACGATCACGACCCTCGTGATCGTGCTGCATCAACGCACATCCGATTGCGAAGTCGGATGCGTCACCCACAACGTGGAACGGGCGATCTTGGTCGGCCACCGCCAAGATCGGCGCCTCAGTCAAGCCCTGCTTGACTGCATCGAAGGCCTGCTGACTCTCAGCAGTTCAAATCCACTCGACGTCCTTCTTCAGGAGCTGTGACAGCGGGCGTATCATGCCCGCGTAGACCTTCACATACTTGCACAAGTACGTGGCCAAGCCAAGGGACTGCCGCAGTTCCTTGACGTTCGACGGCGTCGGCCACTCATTGATCACTCTGACCTTCTCAGGGTCAGGTCGGACACCGTTCTTCCCAACGAGACACCCGAGCACAGGTATCTCGCTCGCCCCGAAGATGCACTTCTTCAGGTTCGCATAGAGCTTGTGCTTGCGCATGAGCGCAAGCAGCTTCCGGAGATGCACCTTGTGCATCTCAACATCGTTCATCCCGTCCGCAGCCCGGCTGTGGACGAACACATCGTCGAAGTAGCTCGGTGCGAAGTCGCGCACCGAGCGCAACAAGGGCGTCACGCACCTGTTGAAGGTCGCAGGGGCGTTTTTCAGACCCTGCGGCATCACTAGCCACTCCCAGAGCATGTCGCTCGGCGTGCTCACAGCCGTGAGAGGGATATCGCTCTCACGCATTAGGATCTGATAGAACCCATCGCGCAGATCAAGAGCACTGTAGATAGTGCTCCTGGCCATCGAATCGATGATAACATCTTTTCGAGGTATCGGCGTCTGCGCCGGTATCGTCGAATCGTTCAGCTTGTTATACGCATGAACGATGCGCCAGCCGCCCTGTGGCTTCTTGACACAGAACGTCGGAGCACTGTGCGGGGATTTCGATTCCCGCACTTGTCCAGCTTTGCGACGACTTTCGAAGAAGTCGTCGATCGCTTTGACCTGCTCTCGCGGCAGTGGCCACTGCCGCGTGACACAGTACTTCGTGCCCGGCACGAGATCAATCTCGTGCTGGATTCCCTTGTCCAGCGGAAGCTCCGCAGGAATCTTTTCCGGAAGTACGTCCGCACACTCCCGTAAGATCTCGTAGTAGGGACTCGTTTTCAACGCGTCCCAGCTCTGCTCTTCAAAGCGCTCCTTCTTCGTCTTCGCACTGAGGGTGTTCTCGCTCTCAGTGGTGGTCTCCATGAAGAACTGCCCCAGTTCTTCATTCTCGCTCTTCGTTCTCTCGGCGTCCGAGAGAATGCATATTTGCTCGATGCGTCCATCGTAAGTCACGCGCGAAGCGCTTCCAGCTCATGACTGGAAGCGAAGTCAACTCCGACGCTTGCGTCGGAGGGTTAGCGAGAGTCATCTCCCTGTACCGGAACCCGGCACAGGTACGCGTCAAGACGTTCAACGTCTCGACGTCCGGCTTCTCAGCCTCCGTCTGCCCGGCAGACATTCCTTGTAGCGTCTCGGCCCCAGGCCGAGACTTGCGCAGCGACCTTCGCATGCGCCGTCTTCTTGTTTTGCGGAGCCCGGCTCCGCTTGGTTCTTGACCACGTCCAGGCCCAGCCGTGGACGGGTGTTCTTCTTTAGTACCGCCGGCGGGTCCATTCCGCGGGCGAGCGACTTCAAGCCCGGCTTGGTCGCCCGGCGCTTCGTCGTGCAGCCTGGCTGCACGACAGCATGCAAGTTTTTCCGGTGCGGGACGTTTGCAACCGTCCGCACCGCCTGCAGCGTCGGCTCCCGGAGCCGACACGCCATCTTTACCTCGACGCCTGTTATTGGCGGAGCCCTCCATTACGGAGGGTGCGTTGGCTCCCCGGGCCGACGAATCAAATTCGTCCAAGCTATCGACTCCCGGAGTCGACACGCCATCCTTACCTCGACGCCTGTTATTGGCGGAGCCCTCCATTACGGAGGGTGCGTCGGCTCCCCGAGCCGACGAATCAAATCCACCCAAGCCATCGACTCCCGGAGTCGACGGCGTCTCGTCACCTTGGCTCTTATTATTGGCCAAAACTGATCCAATCAGATTCGCGTCAGCCTCCACGGCTGAGGCGTGTGACTCGCCTGCGTCATCCGTGCCCCTTGAGGCCGGAGACTCTTCTTGATTCGCTGAAAAGCGGGTGTCAGCCTCCGAGGCCAACACATTTCCTTCATTAGCTGTCAGCGGCAACGCCGACGCTTGCTGCTCTTGCGCGCGTGCTCGCGTGCTCGCGCGCGCCCAGGGGGCTCCGGGACAGCGGGATTAGGCGCTGTATCGAGTGGGGAGTCGCGCGCACCTGTCGGTGCGTGCGTAGCGGCAACAGGGCCATCGCTCACTGTTCCGCTGTCGCGACCGAAGCACGAGAGTGCGCTTCTCCCAATCGATGACCGGATCATGCCGTGCAAGCCACGGCCTGCCCAATACAATGTCAAACTTATCGTCCAGATCCAGGACGATAAAGGTCTCGACAAACTCTTGATCGTCATACGTGAAGCGCACGCATACCATGCGCTTCTCGGTCTCCACGACGGCACCCGTTGCCAGTCGTACTTCCAACATACTTCGAGATATCTTTAAATCCTCGAAGTCAAGCCTTGATAGACTTCGCAGTCGAACAAAGTTCTTCGACACGCCAGAATCTACCAAAGCACGGAGAGAGCCGCTTGCTCTCATCGTGTTTACATTCAGGATGACAAGGTCAGGCTTGTCATCTTGGTTCTTGCAGTGAGGGTGAACCTCACTGGGGGCTGCCGTCCTCAGTGTCGCGTGTCCAAGGTCGACACGCGGAACTGCATTACCAGTAGGGCGCCCCGAGCCTACTGGCGTCCAGCGTTTTTTGTTTGGTTGCGACGGTGCCCGGCACCGCCGCGATAGCCACCCTGCTGGTGCACGGGGGCCGTGCACTCCCGAGCAAAGTGACCGATTCTACCGCATCGGTAGCATCGCACATTGTTTCCTTGCGACTGCTGGGGTCCAGCAGTTGCAGCGCTCGAGCCGTCCATGGGTTCTGGGCCTCCCGTCCTCACTATCGGGCGAGGCTGTGGCCTCGGCGCATGTGCATGCAGCTTAGCCTGCCGCTGGCTAAACTCCTCCTGCATTGCAAGAGTGATTGCATCTTCGAGAGTACTCGAGTACTCGCGGAAGAGATAGGTCTTCACAGGCCCATCTCTCAGTCCCTTCATGAACGTGACGACCTTGGTCGCCTCGTCGATCGGATTGGTCACGATGTTCGAGACCAAGTACCGTGCTCTCTGAGCGTAAGCATGGACATCATGCTTGCCCTGCTGCAGGTCGAGAAACTCCGCCCTCGACCGGAACTCGTTTTGCAGGGGCTCAAACGCTTGTTTGAGCTCTTCCTTGAAACCCTCGTACGTGCTAAAGCACGTAGGATCCGAGAGTCGGCGTCCATACGCCCAACTTCTTGCACGTCCGCCAAACAAGACATGACATGGCGAACGCGACCTTCGACAACGGGTCGACGATGCGTCGAGCCGCAATGGCAGTGTCGAGTTCGACAAGCCAACGGAGGAGATGCTCGCCCTCTCTTCCAACGTAATTGCTCCCGCTGAGTTTCAGCGATTGCGCGCGCGGTGTCGTCCCCGACGACACCGTGGTAGACGAAGCAGCATCTCGCTGCTCCCTCATGATGAATCCCAGAGCAACACCATGTTGCTGTGTCGGCGTTAGCGTACGCAGCATCGTAGCTACAGCCGCCTCACCAATGACTGTTGACAGTCGTTGGAGAGCTTCCCACTCTGGGTCCGGCAGGTGGGGACAGTCAGCGCGTGCAACGTGAGTTGCAGGCGTAGTGGAGCTTTCCATGGACACCTCTGTATCCATGGGAAGGTTCTCAGCTCCGCGTTCGTGCGGTGACGTACGAACTCAGGTAGTCGGTCGTTGGACGGACTACGAAGTGCTACCAGGTGTAGTGAACCTACTTTGGCTCACTACTTTAGCTTACACGTGTGCGCGTGTATGTGAGGAAGCGTTGCTTAGTTTAAATTAGAGTTAATTATACTCGGGCCTCCGAGTATAGATTAATCTAAATAAACGATCCAAATAATGTTTTTGGGTTAAAATGAAAACTGCTATTTTTGTTTTATGTTTCTGACTTCCTCTAAATGTAATATTCTAAGATAGGAATCTGCCAACGGCTGGTTGGCAGAATTCCAATGCTATGCATGTCGCTCATTGGCTAAGAGATGCTGCTCTCAGCCAATAGCAATCCTAAGTCTCTATGGACCACCCGTCGTGGTGGTCGCAAATGTATGTAGCCTTTGGTGTGTCTACACCAAGGTCGAGAAAGTCTTTCGAACCTCTAACAGACGTCGTGTCTGTTAGAGTTACAAGTGACTGTAGCCACTTGTGCGTGTAACCCTGTTACACAGGCGCTTCGACGGCCTGAAGAACGTCGTCCACAGTGCCCGAGCCGCCGGACACGTCCAAAAGGTGTGGGAAAATCCCGCATGCAGCTCTTGACATTCAGGGAGAGGGCAACCTGGCAGGCTGCGTGAGGTATCCTATCGTGAGAAGGCACGCAGTTTCAGTCGATACAGGACCTGTTCGTCCCACACTGTGTTCTCTTCTATTCGGCGTAGAGCCTTCCAATCAACCCTCCGGAGGGCGTTCGCAATGACGGTGTGCTCCGCCTCCTAGGCAGTCGCGCGGCCTTCCAAGTCTTCCGTACCATGGCGGCGGGAAGTTGATGAAGCCGCGCGTTAGTAGTCGCACCGCATTCTTGCGTGGCAGTGACGCCCGGCCCACAATCGAACCACCCTGTCGAAGACCGCCAAGGACATGAAGCACGTGGCCGAGCACTTCTCCAGCATCCGAGCGGCGTGAACGTCATTGACATGGCAGCGGCCGCCGGTCTCCGCGTTGCTGTCGGTGTGCAGCTCTGCGATCCCAACCGCATCGACGCTGAGATCAAGGTGGTCTGCGATGGCTACGCACGGAACCCGTGGGCCGTCGAGGCTGTCTACGTCGGCAACGAAGACCTACAGAACAATGGATTCGGTAAGTACTCGGCCGACCAGCTCGTCGGCTTCATCAACCGCGTGCGTAGCTGCGTGGGCAAGACGCCCATCGGATCGGTGCAGCGCATCAACGAGTGGCTGAGCGCCAATGACGCGTGGAAGCTGGCTAACACCGTGGACAGCATCGGCGTCAACATCTACCCATTCTTCATGTAACGGGGTACAATCAAGTGTACCCATTACATGAAGAGTGACGGGTGTCACTCTCCCGAGTACATGGTACATGGTACCAGTAGCTCCGCAAGCCAACCATTTGAGTTTGTTTGGGCTTTTGTATAGTTAACTTGTAGTTTGTATTAAGACCAAGTTAACCTCTACCAAAACACAGTCAGTCTTATAACCTACTCGTTTGTAGCAAACCGTTCCCATTGAGGCCGGGAACTGGTGAACTGCTGTTCACCTGGATAGTAATATCCGCACGCACTTCCTCTGTGCATTGTGCTGTGTGACTCCATCACACTTGGTAGCAATTGTAGTCAATCCTACGCCTACGCGGGTAGCTTGGTCTACCTGAATCCTCGGTGGCTCAGGTCTGTGAGCCACGATGGACCGAAGTGAGTTTCCACACTTGACTGACTCGCAGTTCGAGTCGGTGCGGAAGATGGCGGGCATCTTCGGAAGAGATGCCCTCCGGAGCTTGGCGGCGGCGACGCCAGCCGAGCAGGCCGAGCGGGTGAGCGCGTTTGACGAGTACGAACGCGGGCTCATCGCTCATGTGCAGGGAAATCTGCTGGCTCAGATGAGTGAGCCCAAACGGGTGCAGCCTAAGCCTCTGCGGCTAGCTGTGCCTCCGTTCGAAGGGAAGGAAGGTGAGAACCTTCACTTCTGGATCCGGGAGACCGAGATTGCAATGAGCGCAGGTCTCATCTCGGCCGAGAACCTTCGAGTCGCCTTTGCGCTCTCCAATCTTGGCGGACGTACCAGGACTTGGGCGTATACGCGCGAAGCGATGTCGCCTGGATGTTTCACATCCTGGGCTCAGCTGTGTGAGCAGCTTAGAGCCGCTTTTCTCCCGTCGAACAACGAGTTCCTCCAGCGCTCGCGCTTCCTTGCGTGCAAACAAGGGGAGCGCGAGCTGTACGCGTACGTACAGGAGATGCGCACGTTGACAGCCTCGCTGGTGGGGAACCCACTGTCGGAAGACGTCAAGATGACAGTCTTCGTGGACGGTCTGAAGGTCGGTCCTGCGCGCACGCAGTTGTTCCGCGTGCGCACCGCCACTATGGAGGAGGCTATCCAAGTCGCCCTCCAGGAGGAGTACAGCCACAAGCAGGCTGGTGCTCTGGCTGTTGTACAGCCTGTGGTCGCTGACAGCGAACCAGAACCCATGGATCTGAGTTCAGCTGAACAGTATTCTGTCCGCTGCTATGGTTGCGGCGGACTTGGACACTACCAACGTGTCTGCCCATCGCCAGGGTCTGTGAAGAAGACCTACCCGAAGACCATAGGGTCAAGGGGGCGCCGACTCCATGCACCGTCAGGTGCTCAAGGGGGACACAACCACCAGTAAGGACGAGGGCCGTGCTGGGGTTGGCCCGAGTCTTTGTGATGGGTGTACGGAAGGCGTACACCACAGAAACCCGGGGTCCCTTGCGAGCACTGACGCTCGCATTGGTGAAGGACAACGGTGGGTTGTCGGTAGTACACGTGAGTGTACGGGGGTAATGGTATCCCTAGACATGATTGAGTCTGGGACGTCGCGCGGTTGTTCGCACGTCGCCAGATGTGTCGGTTGGAATAACGACACAAGTGCCAAGACTCTGCGAGAGAGTCGAAGCACAAGGGCAGGTCTCATTGACTGAGGCTGGGCCGAAGAAGAACCTTGGGGTCCGCTGTGACCCTGGCTGTCGCGCTCGAGGGCGCTGACAGCAATGGAACCGCACACGGTCCCGGACATCGTGCCGAAGTCGGCCCTGGGCATGGAACCGTATGTGCCCTCGGCTTGAGCAAGTATGACTTGGCTCTGAGTGCGCCGTGCAAGCTGCACATGCTCTCGGTTGAGTGGCTCGACAACGCCTTGAGGCTAAGTCGGCCCTCTGTGTCTGACAGAGCATTGGTGAGTCATGTTCCCACCTCTGGACAGACACAAGGGCGTCCGATGGGACCGCCAGGGCGCTGGATGCGTCCGACAAGACGAAGAAGAAGGGAGACATCACTGACATGATGATCTCCATGATGATGGTGCAGTGTATCTGCAACCGAGGGCTGTTATGCCTGGCATGTGGAGCTGCCTCAAAAAGCAACTCCAGTGCTGAGAGTCATTGCTTGGCATGAGCATTGACAAGAGTGGTGTTCGATGACACCACCAGGTGGGTAACCAAGAACCACTAACTAGCGGGTAACTTAGTTCCGCACAGAGCATGTAATGCTGAGGAGGCCGCTCAAGGCACCTCCGGCGTGCGTAACCAAGTACCACGGACGGTCGCCCAGACCATAACTGAAGAGGAAGGCCCTGCAGGCACTTCCTGTGTGGGTAACCCAGTTCCACACCAGGTCACTCAGACCTAAACTGATATGGAAGGTGCACGATGCACTTCCTGTGTGGGTAACATAGTTCCACACGCGTCACTCAGACGGTAACTGATTGTGAAGCCGCATGATGCGCTTCCTGTGTGGGTAACGTAGTTCCACATGATGCCGTAAGGCTCCGCATGAGCCGGAAGGAGTCGCTCGAAGCGACTTCAGCGTGGGTAACTTAGTTCCACGCACGGTCAGTATGACCAATACTAGTGATCAGGCCACTTGGGTCTCCTCGCGTACCACACGGAGTTTAAGAGGCTCGTGACACCGTCACGATGTCATAGCCGCACGGTCCTCTTGAAGGCGCCGCGCGGCTCTGATTTTAAGCGGGGGAGGAGTGCGCGGAAGGACTTCCTTCCTCCAAGGGCTTGACACACAGTCATCATGGATGACGTTCGACTGGGTGTCGACCAGCACAGCTGTGGCCATGCGCACAGAAGCCGTGGCTTGGGTACACGACGAACCTGCGGCAATGCATGTTGCGTTGCCGCCGACTCGGCGAGCATGGTCGAGCACGACTGGAGTGTGTCTGCCGAAGGGCAACACCTCAATGACCACATGCAGGAGCATGCTCGGTCTGAAGGCAAAGGCCGCTGCGCGGCAGAGATCGTTGGTACGGTCTGTCGCGGATAGTACTGTGCGGCGTTGGGACAACAAGTGTCCATGACTCGGTGCCGAGATGGCTGAGTCTGAGTATGCGTGCATGCCATGCAGCTACTCTGAATGCAGGACAAGCTATACGCTGTCATGGGTAGTCTTCGGCTTGGTCTGCGGACGATGGCATGTGTACACACGCAACACCATGCCGCAGCGTGATGCTGTTGCTACACTGGACGCGGTACGTCTACCGGCCAGGTAGCCATCAGCACCACGCCAAAGCTCCAGGCTTTTGCTACGCTGGACGCGGTACGTCTGCCGGCCAGGTAGCCATCAGTCCCGAGCATGGGTGTTGCCCACGAGGGGAGAACCCGAACGTGTTGCCTTTGCAGGCATTCACAGTTGGCGCGGCAGATGCCGCACCTGTAAGGCGCGAAGCCATACGCGTGCACGCGGCACATACTACCTGTGAGATAGTTGCGGTGCGTGACGCTCACTGTGCGCGTGGCACTTGGTGTACGCGAGGTACCCGCAGTGCACGCGACACTTCTTGTGCACGTGGCACTTGAGGTGCACGAGGCACTTATGGCAGTCGTGGTACGTGTCACACGACATGCCTTTGGTGTATGAGGCGGTGCCCTTGTACACCTGGAGGTCCTGTATGGACTGTGTGCCGTGCGGTCTTGCGCGCACACCGACCTGGTGTTGGTCGCCGCGACGCAGGATGCGATCGCCGGTGACGGAGGGCAATACACCCCACACCACGTGCCCTTGCGGTACCCTGGTGTCGATGGAAGACACCTTAGCAACGTCGAGGTGATGGCCGCGACGCGCTACAGGGCTTTAGACAAGTCCGCCGCGTTGCTCGGTATGATGAGCGGGTTGCTGGAAGCAGCCATGGTCGCTCAAGTAAACACGACGTTGAAGCATGACGCTTCATGGCTGTGGTCAGCGCTTGACCATAGCCCATGGGTCGAGCCGACGTATTCGGCCGACCGGCACACCGTGCTGTGACGAGCGGGGCCCTGTCGGGCCGCTGTCATGGCCGGAGATGAGCAGCACAGCTCTCTCCATGGTTACGCTACGCGCTGACCGGAAAGGTGCTGTCCCTCGCGGGGGGCACTGCAGCACGAACGTGCCAGCGGGGCCCGAGGGCCATGCGACGCCAACTGCTGGTTGTCTACGAGGGACACCGCAAGTTTGGAGGCACATCCATCCCGTGCCGAGGTACTCTGCACCTGCTAGCGCTGTGGATACGGCCACTAAAGGCGTCGGCTTCGCGGCCAACATCGCCGAGGGCAGGGGAATGCCGAGCGGGGTGCCCGCTGCGGGCACAAGTCACTGTGGGTGTGACAGTGAGGCGCGCCAGCCTTGCAGCGGCGGTGCCCGAGAATCCGACCTTTGGGTGTTCGGATTCTCTCGAAGCTGATTGGAGAATCAGATGTGATTCTCAGATAAGTGGGGGAGGATGTTACGGGGTACAATCAAGTGTACCCATTACATGAAGAGTGACGGGTGTCACTCTCCCGAGTACATGGTACATGGTACCAGTAGCTCCGCAAGCCAACCATTTGAGTTTGTTTGGGCTTTTGTATAGTTAACTTGTAGTTTGTATTAAGACCAAGTTAACCTCTACCAAAACACAGTCAGTCTTATAACCTACTCGTTTGTAGCAAACCGTTCCCATTGAGGCCGGGAACTGGTGAACTGCTGTTCACCTGGATAGTAATATCCGCACGCACTTCCTCTGTGCATTGTGCTGTGTGACTCCGTCACACTTCACGCCGGGCTCGCAGCCGTCGGTGCAGAAGCTCGATGCGCAATGGAACGAAATGGTGTCCAAGTTTGGCTCGAACAAGCTTCACCTGGCCGAGACGGGCTGGCCGACCGCCGGTGAGAGTTACGCCGGCAACGTTCCGTCGGCGGGTGCGTTGACGCAGTACTTCTACGACTATGTCTACGGCTGGTCGGTCGGCAAGGGCCAGTCGTACTGGTTCATGATGTACGACACGACTGTGAGCTACACGGGAGCGGAGCACGAGAAGCACTTCGGTCTCTTCGGCACGGACATGTCTCCGAAAATCAACATGCCGCAGAACCCGAACCAGTCGCAACAGCAGCAGCGTCTCCGTCGCGACTAATTGTACGTCTTGCACCCCCGAGAGCATGGCGGTACGAAGTGGTCAACGGAAACCAGATAGACTTGTGAACAACACTGAATATAAGATCAATGGACGAGGCATTGATATTCCAACTATTTCTTGTTACCCATACTTGGCTTCGTATTGCATGGACTGAATTGCAAACTTTTCCAATACTTCTCTGTCCCACGAAAGTATGGTTAGTTAGGTTTTTTGTGTACCACACAACGAATGTCATTGGTCATTTGACGTTGGTTAGGGCAAAATTTGTTTTTTGCCCAATGATAGCACAGTTGATTAGTAAAACCTCGTTGATTTTGAAGCGAGATATCTCGCTTATCAGGCCTTTCCACAAGCTGTAATTGGTTCACCAAGCTAACATTGGCAATAGCGCCTCATCCTGAAATTTCGATGAATTATCGCTAATTTTTAATAGAATTACGAAACAAAACCTACGGAGGACTAAAATTGCTGGCAGAAAAAGCGTTGTGCCTCCTTCAGTTCTCCCAGATAATGGGCAGCGAAAATCAGGCGTTAGCGCCTGCCTCTAAGCTTCATGATAAGGCCTCACATGGCCAAAACTCTTGAGTAGAAGCGAAGATAGAGCACAATTTCGAAATTATCATACTTTCGTGGGACAGAGAAGTACTTTTTTTCTATCAAAATACCGATACTACGACATTTTGTGATGTGTTTGCTGTTATTATCTCCGAGATACAGTCTTCTCTCGAGGCTGCATTACCAATGAATGCTGTGTAAATTCAAGTCCAACGTTTGCCACGAGTACATACAGTTATCAAGTCAACTGTCTTGTACAATACAATAAAATCATTGCAGCCAATTTTCTAATTGTAATTGTTGACCCCAATTTTATCAATAGTTTTATTGCAATTTTTTTTACGCAACGCTGATTACGTCCTTGATAACATTATCCGGCATTTTCTCCTGAGTAATCCATGCATCGAACTGTGCGGCTTCCAGCTTCTTCGCGACACTCTTGGAGCTCTGAGTATGCTTCCCCAGTAGAATCATAGTCGCGACGTTTTTCTCGCCAAATACGTTCGTGAGGGCGGTTAGCATCGCGGCTTGTGGGTTCTGCGGGTTCGTCGTGGCGGCGTGCTTGGACCAGGCCTTGAAGTTTGGGCTCGAGAAAAACTTCACCACCATTTTCTTCTCGACGAAGTCATTTTTGCCAATTGGCATAGTGCTGAGCTTCACCTTCTTGAAGGCATTGGCGAGAGATTCGTCGGCTTTGAGCAGCCCTTGGAGCTCCTTGACCTTGCTGGACTTCAACGCGTTCGAAACCTTGTCTAGGCCGGGGATGTTCGCAGAATATCCCCTCTCTTCGTCCTCCTGTTCGTCCGTAGCATAAACTCCCAGAAGCCTCTTGGGTGGGGTGTTCTACTCGAAAGTGGGAGCTCCAGCGCCAGGTGTCGCCAATTGCGAGTCCTTGGATGCTGCGCCGGGGGCAGCGAGTGAAAGAAGCACTATAGCCACCAACACAGCACTGTTGTAAATCCCCATGACGGGTTAAATTAAAGACGTCGCTAGGCTTGAGCACCGAGTGGAGGAAAAGTATACTAGAAAGTGACCTTGCAGGACCCAACGTAAGCCCGCGGGCGTCCAATAGCTGCGCATCATCGGAAGGGGTCTGCTCTTACCAATTGGAGGATCTTCGCCTACGTTTTGCTCTGTTCTTGTGTTAAACAGACTTCGAATTCGCCATAAACATGGGATTGCCACTTAGATTCGCATACAGTACAGTACATGTAACCAGCAACGATTGAGCCCTGCAATAACAACTAAATTGTAGTAAAAAAAAAATACATGTCGATAGGTACAGTACAAGAGCAGCCCATCATAGTACTCATCACATACCAAGATACGATGATCAGTACCAGTGTTGGTGCAACCCGGTGCGCTAATCGCCAGGTGTGATTTCTTTGGCTCACAAGCAATGAACTGCTGCAACACAACGATGAAAGCTTCGATAACATACAGTACTACAATAGCCTTTCACGTTTTCAGAAAACTAAAATTTTGGACGATGCGGTACTAACTGTAAGCTCGGCAACGACCACCACGACCCCGACAGCTTGTGGTTTATCGAAACACCAATACCAGTAGTTGTAGTTTACGTCAGTGTGGAAAGCTAATAGGTAGGTATTACTTACGCTGCAGTAACTCAAATTCTTTCATTTCCATTTAAATCTCGTGTGCGATACTGTATCTACCTCTTCTGGTAATTTACAAAGCGCATCGCCAGCATCGTAAATACACAAAAGAGGAGGCCGAAGCCAACCAGGATCTCGCAGTTCCTCCAGATCTCGCTGTGCTTCATCAAAACGTTGGTCTCCAGGTACTCCTTCACCGTGATTCCATCCCGCAGCGACGGCGGCACATTCGTCATTTCCGCACACCCGAGGCCATCGCCACTTGAACACTCTCCGAAGACCACACTCGAAAAGGCCGCGAGGCTGTACGTCATGGGCGTGATGTTGTACAGCCACACCGTGGCCGACGGCAGAGTCGAAGCCGGTGGACTGAAGCCCGAGAACAAGTAGCTGATCAACGTCACCAGCACCCCCACGATCTCCGCAACCTCCAAATTTGGTAGCAAGAACACCACAAGTTCCGCCATGTACGTTTGGTGGAGCACATGCAGCGACAGCACGAGCCAGCACGAGAAGAAGGCGCCCACGCCAGTGAAGCCCATGAGTGGGAAGAACGGGATCAGGAACAGCAACACTGCGACGATAGCGTACGGGATCTCCATGACGCTCATACCGACGAAGTACCAGAGCGCACTATATGTTTGAGATGCGCGCTCGCGAAATTTGTTATGCGTCTGCGCCGCTCGAAAAAAACCGTGTACCGTCGTCCACCGCTGGCGTTTGGCTCGCGCCCGCAGGGTTGGCGGCGCTGTGGACGACGGGTCGTGTGGGCGCCGATCATATTAAAGTGAAATCGTTCTTGATCTTGTGTTCCCCCCCCCCAAATTGCCAAGTAAGCCAATACTGAAAACAAGATATTAGCGAGCACACTAGAGCTAAACAACTGACCAAGCGCGGTACGCGCGCTCTTGTAAAAACACTCCTACAGATGCTCAGTATACAACACGCGGTTGCGCTCCTCGTTTAGCTCGCGCTCGCGCTTCTCGTTTGCCTCGCGTGCCTCATTCATGAGCTTCAGCGCGCTCTCTTCTCGCTCGCGCAACTTCTTCTGGCGATACTTGCTTGAGACGTCGCGCTTGTAGTCAAGACACTCTCGGCAGCGCGAGGACATAGTGTCATCGTTCTTCTTCGTGCACCTGCGCTTGAAGCACGAGCAGCACATGCCTGGATCGCGCTCGCTCCTCTTGCGTTTTGCGCTAGCATTCCTCTTGGGGCGACAATCTCTGTATATCACGGCCCCGTCGCCGGGCTTCTTCTTCTTCCCGCAGCTTGCGCAGTTCGCGCCACCTTTCTGAGTCGTCAGATACCGGAAACTCCCCTTCTTCTTGCATGCCTTGCATTGGGCGTTGTCGTCCTCATCCAGTTGCGCCGCGCATTTAATGCGGAGCCGGGCTTCCTTCCTCTCTTGAGCCAGTTCTCGGGCCCGCTGGTTTTTCCGTGCGCGGCGCGCCGACTTGACCAGTTCGACGTGGGTGGGGTCTGCAAGTGTCGTCTGGTCTTCTTGCTCGGTGAGTCCCTCGCTAGCGTGCTCCACCTGCTGGCGCTGCCGCGCCGCCGAGGCCTTCCTCTCCTCAGCTTCGAGCCACTCGAGCCCAACCTTTCTGGCGTACTTCGTTAACCCTTCTAGCCCCAGACCTTATTCTGTATCCTACAGAATAAGCATTAGACTTGATTAAAGTATACTTCAAAACCTGTCAAAGATATGCTGTTGGAAGCCCTTTCGCATCTTGCTGTCAAGCGCTGGGTACATTGTGCACAGAACAGCTACGAAAGTGAACAAAACATGCTCAATATATCCACCATATGCCGAAATGGCGAGCTTCTATTGGTCGTGGCGAGCGTAGAGCACGCTCAAAACCTGCTACATGGTAATACCTTGCAAGGCTGCTAAGGCAGCATACTTCGGCTCCAGCCACCCATCTTCGGCACGTCGCGATAAACGTGGAGGAAGAAATCGCCCTGTGCCTAACTGACGTAGTGAGGAGGAACTGGGCGAATTCTTCCTTGTGCTTGACATTAGCGCATCATTAGATTTCTTTAGCCCACCTAACAAGCTTGTTACGATTGTCTCTCTAACAACACCAGGGAGCTTGCATGCTCAATAGCCCGTGATGACACGCACTACACACGGTTCCTCTTGTACGAAACAGGACAATATATGATATTCATGCCAACGTCTACTTCTTCCTTTACATGTGCACGCTCTTCAATGTTCGCGCCAGCCGTGGGTCATCTTCGCCATTTTGGCAGCCTCCACTTTGCTCTGTAGCCTCCGGCACTGCCGCTCCATTCCTGCCGCTTTCATCGGTAGCCTCCGTCGTAGCCTCTGTCCCTTCTTCTGTAATCTCCGGTGTAACCTCATCACGCGGAGAGCTTCTTCTGTAGCATCCGTCGTAGCATCTACCGCTTCTTCTGTAGTCTCCGGTGTAGCCACTCCATGAGGAGCGCTTCTTCTGTAGCCTCTTGAGTAGCCACTGCATCAGCTACAATATAGCGGTAGACCCGGCTGTAGTCGGCTTCGTAGGAACCGATGAGGTTGTGCGCTGACTCCGCAATCGATCTGCCAATCGGGCCACACGCGAGAGCTCATAGCGTCGTCTGGGTCGGATCACCAGGTCTGGTAATCAACATCGCAACGTAGAATCAATATACCACTAGTACAATGTTACAGAGCAAAGTACACGCTCTCGCTTACCTGTAGATCACAATGGCGCTCATCATGATCGTCTTCGGCCATGGTCCTTGGCCACTTGGGCGCGCTCGACGGGCCCCAACAAAGCTTGCATTGCGACGTCTTGAACAGCGCAGTTTCGGAATGAAGGAAAGTACGAGTGGCTGACACGCGGCGGTTTTAGGCTTCCACCCGAATTTTCAAACCTGTTGGTGGTTTATACTCGTCCGTCTATTACCGCGGAATAAACCCCGTTTATCTTCCCATCGCTAATCTAACAGGAAGATGTGCACAATACCGGCTATACAAACATCCATATGCGAAGTTCGAAAGAGAGGACAAGTTTGCTGGATATTATGTCCTGTGACAATGCTTATTCTGTAGGATACAGAATACGAGGTTAGAGGGGTTAAGGGGTCGATGCATGTATCGAATTCGACCCGGGCCCTATCCACTAAAAAAAGAGGCGAAAGTTTAATGTCAGCATTAAAAAAAACAATACCGAGATACTAACCTTCGCCAGGGTCGAAATGCAGGGTGACGTTCTCGAGCGAGATCTCCAATCCCTTGATCGACGGATTCACCGAGCCCGTGGACGCCATGATGTTGTCCACGACAATCATCTAGCCACCAAATTCAAATGTTAGTTATCAACGCCCCAATATTATACATTCGCTGTTACCTTTTGATGCTGTGTCTTCCCTTTCGCGATAGGCACGTAAATGTCCACACCAGCCTCCATTAGCTGTCGGATCGCAGGGAGCTCAAACGTCGAGAACACCATATTCCAGTCAAGTAGCAATGTGACCTTCACCGTCCTCGACTTCTCAATGAAGATAGCAATCACCCCTGGGTCCGTCAGGGCGAAGAGCGAGCCACGGATCTCCTTGGTAGCGAGCCTGAGGTGACGTAGGTAGATGTCGCGGAAATCGGGGTTGTCACGCGAAAACAGAAGCATGGAGAACGGGATTAACTTGACCTTCAGGTAGATCGAGTAGAACGTCGACCACAGCATGCCCAGCAGCCCGGCGATCACGCGCAACGAGATTTCAGGATCCTTAGCTTGATAGTCACGAATCTGACGGTGAACGCGCACAGGCTCGTGCTCGGGTACACACTTCCCACCTCGCTGGCCCCACAACTTGCCTTGCAGGTACCTGTCGAGGATCTTTTGGATGGTGCGTCCGTCGCGAGGCGGGATGCAGTGCTGCCCGAAATCATCAAAGTCAATGGGCTGGTGGGCGCGCACCTGAGGCATCAACTTGCGAATGATTTTCTTCCGCTCTGCTGCTGTCGTGGGCTTCGTGAGCGTCGAGGTCTCAGCCTCAGCCTCAGGTTGAGGTTGAGGCGCCTTCTTTTTCCCCGACGCCTTCTTCTTCCCCATGGGTGAATTCGATTATGACGAGCCTCAACAGCGATGAAATCTGGACGACAAATGGCTGTCGTCCGTCACTAGTTGTTCGAAAAAAGTGAAAAGTGACGAACCGGTACGCCACGCCCGTTCGTCTTTTTTTAAAAGAGGCGCTCTGGAAGGTCATCATGGCCTGGAAGCGCGCGGCGACGAACACCACGCCCACACCCGAGTTCAGGCCCGAGTACGACGCGTAGTCGACGTCGACGAAAATCAGGCCGAAGACAATCGCCAAGAAAAGTGCCAGGTACATCCGCGTGAGAGAGTAGCTGGGCCAGTACATCACGATGAAGCGCCACACCACAAACTTCATCTGCGTCTTGGAGTCGGCGGCACGCTTCTCGGTGTAGATCATCTCCGTAGCATCGCTGCGGTAGAACACGGCGCGTTCCTCAGCCACAACGGGGATCAACCCGTTAAACGACACCAGGCCGATGAACCCCACGGTCAAGTACACCATCCCCATGCCCGAGTTGACGCCAGAGTACGATTTGTACTCCGCTCCAGCGTACGAAATACCGAAGAGCAGGCCCAAACCCAGCGAAATGGCGTAACGAGTCAAGTTGAAGGACGCTGTGCGCCAGTACAGATCGCAGAAGCGCTTCAACAGGAACTTGGCTTGAGTCAACTCCGATGCTGTGCGCTTGTCACCAAACTCCAGAGCGGGCAACGAAGGCGACGGTCGTGTCACGCCTTCTTGGTCCAGGTTCGACTGCAGACGTTTGAAGTGCTCGCTGGACTTGAAGATCTCCACGAAGTCCGTCTGCGATCCATTGTCGTTGCCCACGCCAGCGCCGATCACCTCCAGCATCCAAGTGGCAGCATTGTAGTCCTCCTTCAGCTTGGCCACACCGTCGATCGACTCGAAGTAGTTGGTCATCTCGTCGCGTTCTCGCCCAACTCACCGGCAAACACCGTCTCGCCTCCGCGCTTCAGCAGCAACAAACTGTCGAACACGCCGAAGACTTCTGCTGAAGGCTGGTGAATCGTGCACAGAATGGTGCGCCCCGTGTCCGCCACCTTGCGCACTCCGTCCATGATGAGCTTGGCCGACCGCGCGTCCAGGCCGCTCGTGGGCTCGTCCAGGAACAAGACGCTGGGCTGCGCGGCCAGCTCCACGCCGATCGTCAGGCGCTTCATCTGCTCCACGGAGCTGCCGCGGATGATCTGATCGGCGATCGGGTTCAGGTCCAGCAGGTCCAAGCACTCGTTCACCGAGTCGAACTTGAGCGCGTCCGGGATGTCGGCGCCCTGCCGCAAGAACGCGCTGAAGGTCAGCGCCTCGCGGACCGTCGACGACTGCGAGTGGATGTCCATCTGCTCGCAGTACCCCGTGGAGCGCCGAATGGCCAGGTCCGTGGCGGGATGGCCGTTCAGCAGAATCTGTCCGCGGATCTTGCCGCCAGTCTTGCGGCCAGCAATCACGTCCATGAGCGTCGTCTTGCCGGCGCCGGAAGAGCCCATGAACGCCGTGATCGTACCTGGAAGTGCGTATCCAGAGATGCTTTTGAGCAGGTCAATGGTGCTCTTCGGGTTGGTCGGGTCCGGAACCGTGTACCGCAAGTCCTTGAACGCCACAGTCACTGGCGTGAATGCTCTCTCATGCGCTGGCTGAACTGGCAACGCAACTGACGGCGATCTGCGTGGCGTTGCAGTGGCAAAGTAGCTGTCTGTGGGCTTCGTCTTGGTCTCCGAGTCCAGTGTGATATTCTCCGGGCTCTCGAACCGATGGAACTCCAGTGCGATGCAGGACAAACATAGGAAAAATACGTACGTGGAGCCATGAACACCATTCCGTACCACAACCAGTACTTCTCGGACTGCACCCCGTACGTGGTGAGCGAGTACTCGCCCATTGTCATCCCGTACTTGGTGCAATAGTCGATGCCGTTAAACACGCACTCGTTGAAGTGCGGGTTGATGTACTGGTTCACGGCAAGCGCGCGGACACCCCACGACGCCGGATTGAGCCAGTACAACCAGATCAAGTAGTCCGGAATCTGGTCTTTCGTGATCGTGTACCCCGCGAACATGACGAAAAACACGATGGAGACGCTGGACAGCGGGTTGGCCACGTTGAGATTGGGCGACGCAGACGCCAAGAAGAAGAAGAACGCGGCCAGCGTGAAGTTCGTCAAGGTCAGCACCACCAAGAAGACGAGAAAGCTCCAAAAGCTGCTCACGAAGCCGCACATCCAGTAGACGATTGACCCGAAGATCACGGATTCCAGGACAATTGGGGGCGCCTGGTTGGCGAAATTCGACAGTACATAGGACGCGGTTCGGAAGAAATTGGCGCCTCGCTGCTTGTAGAACACATCACGCGCTGCCATGATCGTTGGGACCTGGGCGGCCTGGCCGACGGATAGGTTCAGGATCGCCTCAAACATGATGCCCATGGCCACTTGAGCGTCCGTCATGTCGAATTGATAGTAGACGCTCGAGCAGAGTAACGCGATCATCGTGTTCATCATCACGCGCCCGATCAGAGCTGTAGTTTCTCGCTTGGTGATGGTTAGCTGTCGCTTCATGAGCAGCGATGTGCTGGCCCAGAAGCTCTGCGAGAACTCGTGCTGAGTTTCCATGTGCGTCTTCATGTCCTGGACGAGATCGGGACTCGCAGGCTCCTCCAGTTCCTTCAGCGTGTGGGCGTAGATAGTTGATCGCTTGAACGCGTCGGCGAATTCACTCGGGGTGAGAGGAACGGCGTGTCCAAGCGCGAGTTTTTGTTCGTACTGGGCTGCTTGTCGGTACCGAGGTCCAGCAGGAAGTCGGCCACGTCACGCGACGGAGGACACTTGAAGCCGAGAGACTCGAAGTACGCCAGCACCTGCTCGCACGGGCCATGGTACATGAGGCAGCCCGCGTTGAGGATCATGACGTCGTCGAAGAGCGCGAAGACCTCGGGCGACGGCTGCAGCAGCGAGATGGCCACCGTCTTGCGGAACTTCTTGGCCAGACTGCGCTGCGTCGTGATGATGTCGAAGGTGGCGGCGCTGTCGAGCCCCGTGCTGATCTCGTCCATCAGCTGCACGTACTTGTTACCAAACGCCATCTCGCCCGTCGTCACGCGCTTGCGCTCTCCGCCCGACACACCTCGCAGCATGGCGTCGCCCACGACCGTGTGCTGGCAGTTGTCGAGTCCGAGCTGCTGGATCACGACGTCCGGGTGGTGCTTGGCCATGGCTCGCGCGGCCTTCAGAGCCTCCGCGTTCTCCTCGGGCGTGCCGTTCACCAGGTGACTCGCGTCTCGCTCGGACAGCTCCCCACCACCACCACACGCAGCGTGGGCGAACTCCAGCGTCTCCCTGACCGTCAGCTCCGGGTAGTGCTTGTCACGCTGCGGCACGTACGACACGAGCTGCGGCAGACGCGCGCGCAGCTCCGCAGCCGACGTGCCGTTGTACTTGACCTCGCCCTCGATCGAGACACTCTTGTCCTGGGGGAAGCGCCCGCTGAGCAGCTTCATGAGCGACGACTTGCCCGAGCCCGGCTGGCCCAGCACCAGCGTGATGGTCCCCGGTTTGAGTACGCCGCTCACGTCCCGCAGGATGCGCTTGGTCACCGTGTGCTGATTGGCCGTGAGGCTCTGCAGCGTCTTCATCATCTCGGTCGGCAGCGTCGGCAGCTGCGCCTCGAGGTTGCTCCTGTCCTTGACCACGACGTCGGCCGAGATGGATACATCCCTGAAGCGCACCTCCATTTGGGGCAGCGTCTTGCCCAGCGACCGCTCCAGACGCGAGGCCATGTGCTCGTGCAGCACCAATGGACCTCGAGCCATCAGCGTCTTGCCGTCTTCGTACGCGATCACGGGGACGCTAGGCTCACCACTGCTGTCTGGATCCATCGCTAGAGAGCTAGAGGATTTGGTCGTTCGTTGTCTGTTGAGTCAGCAGTGTGCGCGATGAAGCAAATTGAAAAGTGAGCCCTTCAAACGAAGGAGCGGATGATGATGATGGCACGATGATAGCTTGCCTGATATCAAAATTGATTACACGATGCCTATGGGACTCACCAATCGCGCCTGGTAGACATGGCAAAGCAGCATTGGAGAGTGACTACAGTACTGTATTACCACAATAATAGAGCCGGATAACCTATACTTTATGAATGCCAGAAGTGGCGACAAGATGTAATAAATATAGGATTTGCCCTTCATCGAAAACTATGCCTTACCAAACAAACCAAAACGTTTGTTTGTTTGGCATCAGTGGTCGTAATTCATTTCGAATTCGCCCCCCTCGCAGCACAAGCCCCATTCAAGCGCGCGCGCGCGCGCCGTCGCCGCCCGCCCGCCCTCCTCCCCCACCTCGCTGTGCCATGCTGAACTATGTTCTGTCGTGCCTAGCGCGTCCCCAGCACGCGTCAGCGTCAGGGCGCCACTAAGGACTACGCGATCGGTTGAACAAGCATCGGGCTCGGTCGATTCGGCTTATGAAGCAGACTCTGCTGAAGATTGATGAGGTTCTGGCCGTGGCGACACACGTAGCACGCAACCGTGGAAGACCTATCCGGCAACAGGTACGACGCATGGATGAATTTCGAAGAAGCACTTGCGGTATACATGTAGATACACAGGTATCCAAGCTCAATATGCAACACAATATCGCTCTGGTTTGTTAAATCCTTTGAGCAGCTACTAAGCACCCATGCCATATTATTGACTAACGAGAAGATCGCTATGGCGAACTTGTTTGGGGAGGGACTAGAAACGATAGTCCCAGAATCGCTGTAGGGTGTTCCTTATCAAATAATGCGATTCGTTTTCGCTGCTGATGGTATTCGTTGGAGATCGAAACGAATACCTAAAAAAGTCTTTAGAAAATCTTCTCTCTAAAAAACTGACTGGAGTGTCTTTGATTTTTTTTCAAGGCTTTTATAGCTCTTAAAAGCATGTCTATAGTCGTAACGGGCAGCACCGCAGTGTTGCGAGTACTTAAAAAATAGCTGTAAACTCGCTTCGAAAAATGGGTTTTCAGCGCAAAATGACTGCGAGTCTGACATGGTTGACATGCAGAACCTCTTGTCTAAGCTTAAACAGCACGAAAGTCGAATACCTCGCTGAGTTAAAGAGTCACAGAGGTACAATACGGCGTTTGAGAAACCTTCGGGGTCGCTCATGATGATATTGTCCGGGGAAGTGACAACGTGTCTGCATAACACACTTGACGATTTGCGCCACAATCTGCGCCTCAATCTACGCCACAATATCCACAATCCACAGTAGAGATGCCATTGTCGGCGCCTCTCAGGGGTAGTTGGTGTGCACTGCGTCGCTACCTCCTTAGAACGCGACACTATAGACTACAATCACGGACCAGCGCGTCTGTCAACGTCTCCTGTCCACACATCACTTACGTAGGCGATTCAGAAGGAGGTAAGAATTAAAAAAGTAGACCAGTCATTTGCACCTTGGTTGGTAAACCTTGTAACTTGACCGGGAAATGGTGTATATCGCCCGGGGTTCGCCTAAACAACCAATCAGCAACCTTATCGACCATCCTGCGTGCGTTTGGCGCAGCTAAATACCCCAGCTGGTTGATATAAGAACGGCAGGGTGCCGAACATGCTCGGGGTATTAAGGAGTGAGGCGAGGTATATATATAATAATTCGGGGTATCTAGAGCATAAATCTCCTAATCTCGGTCGATTTAGCATTGGAAATAGGCAAAATGCGTGGTGATCACAATAGGACTTAGGACTATAGGACTTAGGACTAAAGTCCTAACCTGACGCACCCCGGATATAGGTAATTAATGCCACCTGCATCGCAGATCTATAGTTACTGCGTTTAAGACTTGAAAGGTTTACTTCGCCGTGCGAAGCCAGATGGTCTTCTTCAAGGCAAAGCACATTACTCGACCTCACTCCGTCAACAATTCCACGAGCCAGAAAGAGGCGAGTTACGCAACTTGGCCCCGTCATCTGTATACGATCGCCAAACTGATCTCAAGATCTCTTCGGGCTCGTGCTTTCCACGTGGATCCTGCCAGCTTCGCTTTTTTATCTTGTCTTTGTCTAAGTTTGACAAACTGCGCATCCACACAGACTGCTTTAGCAGCTGCTTGTGGCGCCATAGGATCCTTCCCATTGCTCCATGCAGAACGCCCCACTTTCCAATTTACCTCTCTTCCTACACCGTGCCCAACCCAGGTAAACTTCCCAAAGTCCTGTCATGAGGTTCCGCCACGTAGTCGTTCTGCTGTGCTTCTTGGAATCGCCGCAGCAACCGGCGAATCCCAGCTGAAGACATCAGCCACCCTGACCCACACACTCGATAGCAATACCCCCACCAAGAGACTTCTAAGAGCTTATGAGGACGAAGAGAGGGGTATTTCTGCAAAGATTCCCGGCCTGGAGAAGATTTCAAGCGTGCTCAAGTCAAGCAAGACCAAAGAGCTGGAGGGGCTTCTCAAGACGGGTGAATCTATCGGTAACGCCTTCAAGACGTTGAAGCTGAGCACGATGCCAATTGGCAAGAATGGCTTCATCGAATCGAAGCTGGTCGTGAGTTGCTTGCAAGCACCAATTTCAAAACTTGTACGCCACCCTGGTGCACAAGCAGGATCCAAATGGTGCAATGGTCACAGCGCTCACGAACGTTTTCGGCGAGAGAAATCTGGCAATAATGATCGTGTTGGGTAAGGATACAAGGAGTTCCAGAGGCATAGCCAAGAAATTGGAGAGCGCGTTGTTCAACTCGTGGTTCATTCAGAAGAAACAGCCGGATGCACGTCTCTCGCGCTACTGGGGCAGGACAAGGCAAGAAAACTCTTCAGCAGTACAAATCCGCAAGTCAAAAATGGGGAGAACGGGTGAGATCACGGAAAATCGACATTGAAGAAGAAAAAGAGCAATACCGAATGCTGTTCGAAGCACAGGATTGAGAGCAGAGCCAATATTACGTGATGTCGCGCCGTCAACAGCACTTTCGCCTAATGCCATGCAAGAAGATGCAGTCTGAATTACTTGACGCTGGACCGTCATCAATGGTAGTGTGCCATTTTGATCTATCGTACAGTATAACCCCGATGGTTCAACCGATTTGCAAAATAATTAGTATTTATTGTGCTTTGCAGTAATTTTGCCGAGCATTTTAGACGTTAAATATGGCAAAGCCTGCTCCTAAATATGTGTGAAAGAAGATACACGACCTGCTAAAATTATGCATAAATCCACCTCCTCATTTATATATCGACGTGGGAGGGCCTGTCAGCAGCCATGCATTGGCCCAGTACACCACCGTCCATGATCCCCAGCGCATCTACCCTCTCATGCATAATTGCCGTGTGTGTAGGTGCTTGTGGATAAAAACCGACAGAATTGCGACTGCACAGCCACAATTGCACTTTCAAAAGTGCAATTGTGGCGCTTTTAGCTTAATTCTAGGCCTCCACCCGTTTATGCACCTCGATTTATCGTAAATATAGCAGGTGGTCGCTATAAATACAGCAATACAGCAAATCTCGCCTCATATTGCCAAAATCATTGCAAAGCACAATAATAATAATAAACAGATATTGACTGATAATCCCTGTGTCATTGATCCGAATTAACGGGTTATTAGAAAAAAGTGGTGCGAACACTGAGGTAATTGACTGTACTTGCAAGTTGAGCAGCATGATGTCCAAGAATTCCTATCGCGGTAAAGCTCTAGTGGAGCATGGATTAGCCTGTACCATTCTGAACTGCTACTGAAGAAGACGCGTTCCAACAATTTTGTGGATGAACGCTTTAGCCCTAGAAGCTATACACACGGTGCGTGCGCAAATTTTCGCTGTACACCACGCTGCCGGCTGTTGGCCACTCGTCTCCGCCAACAAATTCGTGTGTCGTTGACCTCGCGGGAACGACAGATGCTTGGTGGAACCTCGCGTGTTCACTGTGCGCCGTGCCGTCACCATTTTCACCGTGACTAAACCAACCTAGGGATCTGGAGTGAACTGCATCTATTTTCAGTAGAGGCGGCGGTATACAGATTCACAGTGTCGAGACCGGTTATGCTAAATGTACCGTGAAATACAGCATCCCTCCCAGTAAGCACCACGCTACAGTGTTCTGTTGGCTGCAGCTTAAGTGTCATAGCTCATTCAACGGCCAAGGAAGCAACAGCCAAGGCTCATACAACTATGAACACCAGTATCCTGTGCCCCCCGAACCATCATCTTATGAGCGACAGCGTCATATCTGCCGTCACGAAGCACCCCAAGCGTGGTCAGGACTTCTACCGCGACGAAAGAACAGACAGCACTGTCGGCTATGGCTACAGCAGACTACAGAACGGTCGCCGCCCAACTCCGTCCGCACACGGCGGTGCTGCGCATGTAGCCCCCGCAAACCCGTGGCAATGGAACACCGACGTGCACTACTACAGCACGAGTGGGGCCAACGCGACAGCTCCAGCAGAGAAAGCAGCGGCGCTAGCGAGCAAGAGACAGAGAGAGGAAGCAACGAGCACTGCCAGCCCCAACCCGAAGCGGCACCAGATGAGCGACGATGCCTCCCCAGCGAGCCTTGCAGCCGTGAAGGCCGACGTCAACCAAGCGCGGATTGCAGAGCTGATCCGTCTGGGCCAGGATATCCACCGCAAGCGGTACCGCGAGAGCCAACGGCGATACAGGAAGAAGCAGAACGGCAAGCTCGCGGATCTCGAGACGTCCACCGTTCAGCTTCGCGCCGAGGTCGCCCAACTTGAAGAAAATCGCAACGATATCTCCGCAGCGATCCAAAAGAAGGCCAACATGTGGAACGTGGCCGTCGAGTACTTGTGGCTCTTCCGTCGTGGTCTCCAGCTGAAAGGACAAACGTCACCCGATGCTCCTCCAGCACAAGCACAAGCGGACGCCCAGCTCGACTTCGTGCAGAAAGCGATGGCGGCCGATGTTGCGTGCAACGACGGGTTTGGCCGAGCGACCGCGATCAGGAGCTGGTGGTTCTTGCAGTGGTTCGACGACGTGGATGTCGATCTCAGAGGCCTGGAGAAGATCTCGGACAACTCGCTGACTACCGCCACCAGGACCACGCTGACAATCACAGAGCAGACGCTGCAGAAGTTGTTCCCGCACCTGAGCACTCACACGTTGGCGAGTAAACTGGTCGGCCGACGCATCTCGATGAAAGGCTCCGTGTACTTTGAGTTCGATGCGCACAGTGGGTATGTGTCGAGCATCATTGCGCAGAGTGACATGTTGACGCCTCTGCTGGGTCTGCTCGGAAGTCTGGCCGATGTGTCGATGGTGTTTGAGAAGGCGTTGATCTCCCCAAACTTTCAGTGGAAGGCCAGAAGCGTCAGAACTACTTCGTAAGCTACAGACTGTATCTTGTATTAAGCGCAGTATACGATATCTTTCTCTCTATTTCGACATTATCATTTCTTCGTTCATGGTATATGTCCGACGTACTTCTAAGTAAGTAGAGTATTTTGGAGGGGTGAAATTTTGACAGTTGTTCTCTTTCACATAGAGTATTACGTGGTCAAATTCGAAACAAAGACGCTTTACTTTTACTTTTTTTTGGTTAACTTGAAATCTTGCGTGTTTTTTTTCTTCTTCTTGGAATGTCCTTGGCCCCGATGTACAGTCAGATTGTCCTCGCCCCGGAATCCTCCAAGAAATCCTCCGTAAGTATGACCCGTAATCTCGTTGCTGCATCACCAGCCTCGTAAGCCAGCGTCACCATAATCTTGTCCCCTCCCCTTCCAACTCCTTCACGAGCTACATGTACTCCAACAAACATCAGTGTGGACAAAATGTGGATACTGTAGTGGTGTTCACGGCTAATTATTAACTCCGGCAACTTCGTTATTACTTCGAAGTAAAAGCACGCGTCAATTTTGATATTTCACGCCAACATGCTTTCAAAACTTTGGTCTCTTGTTTCACTCCTGACTGTTTAGGGCAGGCTAATGTGCTGCGGCATATCTGTGCCGAAGAGGCCAAAGTGCTTCTCGTACTCCGCGCCGGAGTAGCTCACCGTCTGATCGTACATCATGAACCAGTACGACTGGCCCTTGCCGCCTGCAAACCCGTACACGTAGTCCCAGAAGTACTGCGTCATCGCACCAATCGAAGGAACGTTGCCAGAGTACGTCTCACCAGCGTACGGGTAGCCCGTCTCGGTCAGGTGCAGCTTGTTCGGGCCGAACTTGGACACCATTTGGTCCCACTGAGTCTCCAGCTTCTTCAGAGACGACTGCGATCCAGGCGTGAAGAACGGGTAGATGTTCACCCCGATGATGTCGCAGGAGTTCGCGAGTGTCCACGCGCCAGGAGCTCCAAGCCACTCGTTGATACGCTGGGCGGAACCCACCGGCGTGTTGCCCACGCAGCTTTTAACTCGACGAATGTAACCGGCAAGTTGCTCGGCCGAGTACGAGCCAAAGCCGCCGTTCTGGAGGTTCTCGTTACCGACGTAGACGGCCTCGACAGCCCACGGGTTGCGCGCGTAGCCGTCGCAAACCGCCTGAATCTCCGCGTCGATGATCTGCGGGTTGCCGAGTTGCACGCCGACCGCGACGTGGAGGTTCGCAGCTGCAGCCACGTCGACGACGTTGAATCCGCTGAATCGAGACTCGTACGTGCGGATGCTGGAGAAGTGCTGCGAGACCTGCGCCATGTCCTTGGCCAGGACGTCCCAGTTGACGTACGGGTGATGCCACGGCGCGTAGCACACTCCCGTGGATAGCTGACGAGCCTCAGGGGAACCGGCGGCGAACGCAGCGGCAACGGTGAAAACGGTCGCGGTCAGTGAAGATACCATCGCTGCTAGCTTGACTTGGAGTGCCGATGTCTTGCGCGGTACAAGGATGTTTTTAGAATGAGACGATCGTTGTGGCTGGCCCTTTGAGCTCCGAGTCGGAGGGATTCGAACGCCATGGTTGGCCTGGATGGATCGCGTGCGTGCTTTGCTGTCCGCAGACAACTTTACGCCAGCTGTTCGGGTTACTTGGTGGCGTGTGCAAACGCAGCGTGACTCGTTTACAGTCGCACAGGTGTCAACGATCTAAGCGACAAAGTGTTAGCTAACGCCCCGAGCTTTTTCACTGTGCGATGTTGTTCAGTATTTTTGAGAGCTTTGGAGGTGAAAAGGATGAAAGTCAAAACATAATGTAAACTTCGAAAAAATCTATTCATTTGTTTAAAAGAATAGGCCCCAGTGTATTCGAATCACGGCAGGCTAATGTGCTGCGACTTGTCCGTGCCGAAGAGACCGAAGTGCTTCTCGTAGTCGGCGCCAGAGTAGCTCACGGTCGTGTCGTACATCATGAACCAGTACGACTGGCTCTTGCCGGGGCACCATCCGTAGACGTAGTCGTAGAAGAACTGCGTCATGGCGCCAGTCGACGGGACGTTGCCGGCATAGGACGAACCAGCGTACGGCCAGCCAGTCTCCGTGAGGCGGACCTTGGCCGAGCCAAACTTGGACGTCATCTGGTTCCACTGCGCCTCCAGCTTCTTCACGGCAGGCTGCGAGCCCGGCGTGAAGAACGGGTGGATGTTGACACCGATAACATCGCAAGCGTTCGCCAAGGCCCAGGCGCTGTCGGCACCTAGCCACTCGTTGATGCGCTGGGCCGAGCCGACCGGAGTGTTACCCACGCACTGTTTGACCCGACGGATGTAGCCAGCGATCTGGTCGGCCGAGTACGTGCCGAAGTTGCCGTTCTTGAGGTCCTCGTTGCCCACGTAGACGGCTTCGACCGCCCACGCGTTCTTGGCGTAGCCATCGCAGACTGCCTGGATCTCGGCGTCGATCCAGCGAGGGTCCGTAAGCTGCACGCCCACCGCAATGTGAAGGCCGGCTGCTGCCGCCATGCTGATGGCGTTCACTCCGTTGAATTGAGCTTGGTACGTGCGGATGCTGGAGAAGTGCTGGGAGACCTGGTTCATGTCGCCAGCGAGGACATCCCAGTTGACGGTCGGGTGGTGCCACGGGGCGTAGCACACGCCGCTAGAGAGCTTCCTTGCGTCCGCAGTTCCCGCGGCGACGCTGGAGACGGCTGCAACGACAGCGATGTTCAGTAGAGAGACCATAGCGAGCGTCGAATTAATTCGCGATGCTAGCTTGACTTCGGAGGGTTTGGAAATGGCGTACGATTGGACTCTGGCGCTCATGAGTGTCTCGAACTTGGTGGACAGCGATCAAGCGAAAGACCGATCCGGAAGATGTGCTTGACGGCAGACGTGGATTGTAAGATGTCGTCGACTGCTTCACAAGCACCATTTTATTCGGGGTTATTGTCAGATTTGGGAGGGTAATTTTGCAGACACCGTTTGTGAACGCTATGTGGTTCAAACAGCGTTCCAAGACCGGGTTGAGTTCGTCATCTTCTCGAAGTTTTGCTGCGTAGTTCGTACTTCAGAATTGATCGTCAAAAGTGCACCTTCGATTCGAAACGAGCGAATAAGTTACGAACTTAATCCATTATTATTAGGTATCATACATGGGCCTTCGTTGCCGTGGCAGCCTGACTTGCGACTCAATTTGTAGATTTCTTCAGGGATTCTTCGACACTTTGACTGGATAGCCCCAACTCCGCATGTCTGTGAAAATGGCCCACCTCACCAATCCGGATCTGCCCACGATAATCTTGGGTACGCCAATGTTATAGCCTGAACTCTTTGCTAGAGAGCCGAGGGAGGCTTGCTGTGAGCTTCACAGTGTGAAGTTCACAGTGCGCTGACGGTCCTTCGTGACCAGGTCAACTCGGAGCTGAGTTTTCGCCCATAGCGTGGCGCTCACGAAACTTGTAAAGCACCAGACGAGTCCAATCCAATTTGCCAATGGAGGCCACAATAATGCGACGTCCACATGTAGACGTTAATCAGCATAGCAGTAACAGTGTAGCAGCCGCTGCAAAGCACAAAACTTCATGCGGTTTGACGCGGCGACGTCGTGTGCGCTCGCACAACCGGGGCTGAGACCGCTCAAAATCTTTGATCTGCATCCTCCTTTCGACAAAAAATACAAATCGCTAGTCTAATGCCATATCTGTAGGCCAAACCTGACTCGATCTGTATACCAAAAACGGGGTTTCGGCTGCATCGCGGCAAAAAATCTCACCGATGTCGACACCTTCGACCGGCGCCGCCCCCGAGGTTCCGCTGAAGCAGCGCGTGTGGGCCGGCCGCATCCCCGTCGTGTTCTCTCTGGACCCGAATGAAGTGACCACGCTGCACGCCCCCCGATCGTTCTACGTGAGGCGCCGCTGCTTCTACCTTTGCCCCCCAAGTCACTGCATGCACTGAAGTATATCCTCCTGCTCTACCTGCTCTACCCTCTGTAGGCCATGGTCCCCCGCATGAGCTACCTCGTCTCCCAGACGCGCGACGTCGTCGAGTACTTCCGCGACGCGGCGCCGCCCATGTCGGCCATGCAGGGCGCCTCCATCTGGTTCGAGGCCAAGGGGGTGCCGCTGCATTGGCATCTGCCCTTCGGCTTGCTGCGCGACCTCCTGTGCGGACCTGGAGCCGACGGAGCCCTCAACCTGCCGTGGGCACTGACCGTGCACTTCTGGGGCTTCCCGAGCGACGTGCTGCTGCCCTGCGACAACGAGCAGAGCGTCGAGTCGCACTTCATGCACAGCCTCAAGCAGGCCACGTTCCTGCGCATGGGCTCCACTAAGGCCGTCATGGCGCTGCCCGAGGCGCAGCAGACGCAGATCTGGACCAGCATATCGCAGAGTAAGGAGGTGGAAGTTGGGAGTGAGAAGGTGTGGAGAGAAGGCTTGTTGCTAAGTGTTGGGTTGTTTTGGCAGATGACTACGAGAGCTACCGGGAAGCCACGCTGGAGCTGCATTTAGATGGAGGTGTGGACGCCTCCGCGCTGAGGCATCTGCCGCTGCGGGTGCACCTTGATAACACGCCCGCGATTCAGATGCCCATCGCACCACTGCAAGATGGTGAGCTAGAGCTGCTGGCCAAGGGGAAGATTTACCCGGTATTGACAATTTCTCCCTGTTTTGTCGTGCTCAGGTCGCGAGAAGACGCTGCTGGAAGTGCTGAACTACCTTCTGCCGGACCTCTTCCCGTCCAGCACCTCCGAAGTAGAAGCGAACAAGTTTCAGCTCGTGGTGCACGGCATCCCCGTTCCGGCGCACGTATCCATCGTCGAGCTGTACCGCAACTTCTCGTACGCCGACGGGTTTCTCTACGTCGCCGTGCGGCCTCAAACCCCAGTGTCCTGATAGAAGATAAGTGAAGATACCCACCCTCCCTCTCTCATTGGAGTGTACACTCCACGACAAAAAGATATGGACACCACCAAAAGTGGCTGTAACTTCGTCATTTTTTATCGTTTTAAGGTGCGGTTTGGACTAGAGTTGCAGAACACGCTGAAAAAGATCTGCACGCCGCTAACACGCGCGCTTTTGCGCTTCTTCAGGTAGCTCACATACAAATCGCTGGTTCTGCCCAGGTGACAAAACTTATGGACAGCTAATCCCCATACAAAATCCTATATTAACCAAAACCCCTTACAAATGATACGACTTGGACTTTGTATGGGGCGACAAAGGAACCCGTGATTTCTCCACTCTACCTTAGTACTGAGCCATATATCATCTACCAACAGTTTAGAATGGAGAAGACAATCGTATATCCATGAGATAGCAGCATACAGAGCTACAAATTGGCACTAACTAGGATGCAACTGAACGTGCCTCGCAAATCATCAGATAATACATGGTAGCCACCACTCGAAATTTCAATTGCTTACTACTTGCTCAGTTTTGTGCGATGAAGGATGAATTTATTACAGGTTACTAAACACACCTTCTAGTACACGATAGTACCATCAGATATTTGTCTAACGTCACGAGTATCCCCGTGAGGCTGGTTCCTTTGTCGCCCCATACAAAGTCCAAGTCGTATCATTTGTAAGGGGTTTTGGTTAATATAGGATTTTGTATGGGGATTAGCTGTCCATAAGTTTTGTCACCTGGGCAGAACCAGCGATTTGTATGTGAGCTACCTGAAGAAGCGCAAAGCGCGCGTGATAGCGGCGTGCAGATCTTTTTCAGCGTGTTCTGCAACTCTAGTCCAAACCGCACCTTAAAACGATAAAAAATGACGAAGTTACAGCCACTTTTGGTGGTGTCCATATCTTTTTGTCGTGGAGTGTAGCCATCTGAGTCAGTACGGAATGTTAAGACCCGTCAGATTCTGACGGGTTTTAACATTCCGTTCGGCAGGTTTAGGAAAAACTCCCTTCAAATCTCCCACATTCTCAGAAAAGAACTCCTATGGAGGGGTCGACTCCGCATGACGACGTCGCGGCCCACCTGGCGGCGGACGTGGAGCCGCTGCTGACCGAGACGCGCGCGCATCTGCTGCACAAGCAGCCCGACCGCGCGCGCGCCAGTTTCCTGCGGCTGCCGGAGCTGGAGGCGCGGCGCAGGGCGTACCTGGAGGCGACGCTGCGGGACTTCTACGCCGCCGGGCTCTTCGATGTGCCCGTGCTGCTCACGTTCCTGGAGGGGCTGCCCAGCTGGCACTGGACGCTGGACGGCTGTGCCGTGCTGCACAGCGTCAGCTCCGCGTTGCGCGCGCCCAGCAGCGACGCTGGAGGCGGCGGCAATGCGCTGCGAGCGCTCGAGGCCAGGCAGCGCAAGTTCCCACAGCTGCCGCTGGCCTTTTTCCTGCTGAAACTCATGAGCCACTTGGAGGACAGCGCGCGCGTGCGAGCCGAGAGCTACTGGTACGCGTGGGTGAGCCCCACGCTGCGCGCAGTGGCCAGCGGACAGGCGCTGGAGCTCAAGATCCTCTCCAGAACGGGTCGCAGCGAGTACCGGCAGGGAGACGCCAGCAAAGAGGAGCTGCTGTATGCGCCGGGTAATGCTGGTACTTTTGATAATGACAGACGCAATGCTTTGTGCTGGGTGGGGGAGCGAGCGGAGGGGGGCGAGAACAGCGAAGTAGCAGCGTGGCCCGACGACAAAGATCGCACCAAGGCCCAGTGGAGGATGATCCCTGTGGATGTGCATACAGACACGTTCATGCTGCAGAGTGTGCGGTTCGAGGAGTATTTGTACTCGGCGGACTATGCAAAGTTTAAGAAGGATTCGAGGGGGAAGACGCGCAGTCGAGTCTTCACGTGGCGGAAGACGGGTGAATCGCCCGGACCCGCTGGGAAGTGGCAGCTTGTGGCGCTGAGTGGAGAGGAGAGGGACGTGTTCGCACTGTACAATCCGTACCAGCGCGAGTTTTTGTATGCCCCCACGGCGGACCTGATGGATAGTAAACGGCGTCATGTACTGACGAGAGCAGCGCCCGATGGAACGCGAGAGGCGTCGAATACTGAAGGTGGAGCGATGTGGTGCGCGTGGCGTATAGCCCCAGCGCAGCAGTCGTCGATGGAGAAAGGTGTTGAAGCGTTTTTTGCCAAGAAATATCCCGTGGCAGTGGAGCAGTTGACACTAGCGCTGAAGGATCTGCCGGACAACACTGAGCACGTCAAGTGTTTTGCGTATCGCATGACGGCAAATTTGCGTTTGCGTAGATTTGACTTGGTTGCTCCCGATTTTCAAGCTATTCAAGCGCTGGGTGGCGATAAAGCTGCAATCTTTCACGGCCTTGCGCACTTGTGGGAGGAGAATGCAAGTTATCTTGCAGCGATGGCGCACTCGTCTCCAGATCTTCAGATCCAGGCTATCGAGATCTCAACGTCGCCGGATAATCCGTTTTTCATGCGTCACCAGCTCGCTAAAGGTGATGATTACCTCGTACGCCGAGACTTCCAAGCTGCCATTGTGTGCTATCAAGAAGCTGCGACGTGTAATCCTACCATTGCCTCAACATCATCCGAAGGAAGTAGCCTGGAAGATCCCGAGACCACACGCCAACGCGTTCGAGCGTACGTATCATGTGCAAAATGTTTTTACGCTCTGGAAGAGTCCGAGAATGCTTGGCAGTACCTGAGTATAGCGCACGATATCACCGGCGTGTCTGTCGAGGGTGAGGCGGCGATTCTACTCTGGAAAGGCAAGTGCAAGCGCGTTCAGAAAGCGTACGACGAGTCGCTGCTACTGTTAGAGAAGGCGTTCGACCGCGCCAGTGCAGCTTCAGCTGCATCGGCGTGCTTGCCATCGTCGGCAGCAGGTGCACCCATGTCCGCAGCAGTATTGAAGCGCTCTATATTGATGGAGATGAAGGTTGTGGGGCTATTGCGTCAGGGGGTCTACGACGCATTGCTGTCTACAGACGAGAACGCGGCTGCTGATCATGCTGCTGAGTCGAATGGTGTTAACGGGGCCAGTGGAGACGGCGGGGTGGTGTCTAGTGGTGACGCTGAGAAGTCGCTGACACAGATGATGGAGCTCTTCCACTGTCCGCTGAGCTTGGAGCTGATGGACGACCCGGTCACGACCCCCGACGGCAACACGTACGACCGCTCCATGATCGAGCAGCACCTGGAGGTCAACGGCTGCTTCGACCCCTTGACACGGGCACCGCTGACCAAGTCGCAGCTCCACCCGAACCGCGCGCTGAAGCAGCTCATGGAGACGCTGCTCAGCGACCACCGTCTCGGACTGCTGCTGGCATCCTGCTCGACCTAGACAACCCTTAAAGAAAGAAGAACTACGTAAAACTCGTCACAGCTCCATCGTAAATGTGCACTCAGTTGGTAATACATTGACACAAGGTAGTCGCAGTCTTCGCTGTAAACTTGAAGCTGCAGGGGGGAGCTGTGGATCTGCGTAAGCAACGCACTTCAAGGTCTGCGCAAGCCGAGCGATCTCAGGCAAGGTAAGGTAAGTTACACTAAACTACTGACAGCTAGGCGCACACCTTCTACGAGCCCTGGGGAGAGCCGGGCTCCTGGGCTCTTGGGTGAACCCAAAAAGTCGCGAGCTCGGGCTCCTGGGCTCTTGAGTTCAATAGGTTAAGTGAAAGGAGCCCTCCAGAACTGTGAGCCCTCGTTAAGGGCTCCCCCTCACCTGTGTTACATATCTCGCTGATGATTGGCCGTCATTGAAGTATCTCCAGGTTCTAACCTGAAAAGGCATAGGAAAGACGGCTTCTCCTTGAGGGGAAGGAAGGACGATCGGCGACGCTGGGGTGGCCTCGGAGCGGCTGTCCACATATGAGCGGCGCGAGATCTTCTAGTGTGGCGATCTTTGAGCTCGATCTTCTAGCGTGGGCATCGATCACGCGAAGTTTGCTCGCCTTAAGTCTAGGTAAAATTGGCCAATCAGATATTACTATGAAGAGCCCGTCATAGATTTGAAGCTAAATTTGGGGAGCCCTGGAGGGGAGCCAATGGGGAGCCCGAACCAGGGCTCCTTGATCTCGTACTTACCATGAGGGAGCCCATTTTGTGCGACTTTTGGCTCTCGTTTTAGGGGGAGCCCACTTTTGAAGTAGACAGAAGGTGTGGCTAGACGTGCGCGATGTGACGGCCGGCAACTCATGTGTTGCGCCTCAGACTTCAACTCGACTGGATCGAGTCCAGCGCAACCGAGCAGGACCGAGCACCCCGCTGCGCGGTGCGATCTTCTCTCTAGTCGGAGCACCGAGTGCCCACCAGCGAAATGCCGGGCAGCTCCGACGCCCTCGCGCGATCGTCGGGGCATCAAATCCATTCCCGCAGCAGTCACAGACGGGGAGATACGTACGTTAGCCTCCGTCACAGGCGTCGATGCTTGTCGAGCGAGACCCCCCCCATTGCCTTGCCACGCATTTGCTTGGTACAGTACTGCCTCAACTCGGGGGTGAGATATTTTGCACTATTCCAGCCACTCACTCGTTCCTCTCATGTGCGGCTATCCTTCCAAGGGCTCACATCGGCTGCAGCCCGTTGCAAGCAGGCGGCCCAAAACAGATTTGGCAAGCGTCGAAAGCGTCCATCTCATCCGCCGTACTCGCTCTCACAAACGCCCCTATTTCTCAAACCCCATATATCTCCATACACCACAACTCATAGCCCACAGCATACTGTCATACTAAAGCAGTTCTATCTTGTTGTATCTTGGCTAACCTGATATCGACGCCGCTTCTGTTATGACAGGTAGGCAAATCATGTTCGGCTATGACGGTCACCACGCCAATCAGTATCCAATCAAAGCGCCATTCACGCTTCTTCTCCATCGGACACAGGGCCCTCGTCCGTGCTTCCTCGCCATACCTAAATGCAGTCGACCCCGGCCCCCCTGGCCGGCGCCGCCGTGGTGTGCCGCTGCTCAAAGCTGCACCTGGCGGCGCTGCCGCACATCACCGAGGCCATCAGCGGCTTCCTGGACTGCTCCGTGCACTGGTCGCTGCCCGCGGCCTGCGGCTTCGCCTTCGAGCGCGGCGCGCTGCGGCTCGTGCAGCGCGTGGCCGCGCACGAGGCCATCGCCGTCGCGCGCGCGCAGCGCGTGCTAGCCAAGGCCAAGAAGGAGGCCAGCCCCAAAATTAAGGACAGGACGCGCGAAATTAGCGAGGCCAAGCTCGTTTTACGGCAGCAGCAGGACCCGTCCTTCCGCCAGCAGCAGTTCACGCTGGGCATGGCGCGCGCGGCCGCCAGAGGGGACCTGGGCGTCATGCGGTGGCTCGTGAGCCAGTTCCCGGGCTGCTACGTCACGCGCGCGGTGGAGGAGGCCGCCAAGCACGGCCAGCTCCAAGTGCTGCAGTGGCTGCAGCGCAGCAGTCGCGTGGGCCACATCCGCGACGAGGGCGGCGGGCTCGCCGTGTTCTGGGGCGCCAAGGAGCTCTTCTACGCGGGGCAGAACGGCCACCTGGCCGTGGTCGAGTGGCTGCAGGAGCACACGCACCCGACGCCCACGCACATGTTCTTCGTGACGCTGGAGGAGGCCGCAAGGAGCGGAGACCTGCCCATGGTCAAGTGGCTCTGCGACGTGCGCGGCGAGTGGTCGCCCTACGCGGCGGTGCTGGCCGCGAGTGGCGGCCACTTGCACGTGCTCAAGTGGCTCAGGGGCAACATCTTCAGCTCGTCGCCCTCGGCCTCGATGGACGACGCAGCGGCCAATGGACACTTTGAGGTGCTCAAGTGGATGCAGACCAATGGAGGGTACGCCACCCCCGCGGCCATGAACAAGGCGGCGGGGAACGGCCACCTGGAGATTGTCAAGTGGCTACATAAGACAAGGAAGGAAGGGTGCACCCCGGCGGCAATGGACACGGCCGCAGCTAATGGGCACATTCAGATTGTGCAATGGCTACAGATGCACCGGCGTGAAGGCTGCACCAAGTCGGCGATGGACGAGGCGGCCACACACGGTCATTTGAGTATTGTACAATGGCTACACCAGAAGAGGAAGGAGGGATGCACCACCCGCGCAATGGACGGCGCTGCTATGAACGGACACTTGGCGGTGGTGGAATGGCTGCATCGACATCGGAAAGAAGGCTGCACGACGGCCGCGATGGACGGCGCGGCACGCGCGAACCATCTCAAGGTAGTGCAATGGCTGCAGAAAAACCGGAAAGAAGGCTGCACCCTTGCGGCGATGAACTTGGCGGCTCGTAATGGACACCTGGAAGTCGTGCAATGGCTACATCGCAATCGAAAGGAGGGATGCACGTCGGACGCGATGGATCAAGCGGCAGCTCATGGTCACTTGCGTGTCGTGCAATGGCTTCACGGGAACCGCAGAGAGGGGTGCACGGCTAATGCAATGGATCGTGCTGCTGCCGCAGGTCATCTGGACGTGGTGCAGTGGCTTCACAAGCACCGAACGGAGGGCTGTACGGTAGCAGCGATGGACAATGCGGCAGGCAGAGGCCATCTGATGGTGGTGCAGTGGCTACATGCCAACCGTAATGAAGGTTGCACAGTTGCTGCGATGGATCGAGCTTCAGGGAACGGCCACTTCGCGGTTTTGCTGTTTCTGCAAGGTGAGCGGACGGAAGGCTGCTCGTCCAAGGCATTTGTGAACGCGACGTCAGCGGATGAGCTGGAGATTTTGCAGTGGCTGTTCGAGCACTATCGCGGCCAGTTCGGGCACGACCGTCTGCAGCTCTTCGCTGTAGGCAAGTTTTACACTCTCCAGTGGCTCAAGCAAGAGTCCATCCTTGAAGACCTGCCCGAGAGTGAGCGCCACTTTGATTAACTGTTTCTAGTCGGTAAGTAAGGGCACAAGTGTAGGAAGTCTATTTATTTGTTAGGGAGTTTATCAAGTGACACAATATCAGTGCAGAGTGGGGATCCTATTACTGCCGTCAGCCATTGCGGACTGACGTGTTTGATGTTGCCGGCGACAAGTACTTCAGAGTCCTATAACGGATATCTACAGTAATTCCCCCAACAATGGCCACAACGCCAGAAACCAACCACGAAACTTGTTGATGCACAGCAAAGCACGCGTGAAAACTTTGGGAAAGCTGAACTCAACACGCACTGCTTCGCGAGTCAATAAATTTCGTGTTCAAATCTGACGTTGAACACGGAAATTCTGCCTACCCCACTCCCTCGAGTCGGCTCGAATGAAATTCGCGCATCGAAATGGACAGTCGTTTCGGAATGTTGACAATCGAATCATCGATACGTACCACTCCGTTTCAAAAAGAAAGCATGATTCACCGTGAAGGTTGTTTCAGAAAGATAGCACGAAAAGAGACTTGGTTTGAGTATGGGAGGGATTACTGACATCTTCAAATCACGGATGACTTGTACTTTCTTGTGCATTTCCGAAGAGAAAAGCCTACTAGCCATACGATATTCAAGTGTACAAAGGTCAATTCTAAACGGTTCAGGTAAACTAGCACATCAATTGAAAGAGGAGAATTCAGCAGTTCAAGTGGTGCAATTTTTACGCGAAAACGTTGAAAATTGATTTGGAGGGCGCATTTTGACGCCAATCGTGCTTTCATTTTGAAACGGAGTGGTACCTTTTTGAAGACATAACGGCGGTAGTGCGAGCTTGTGCCGCTCTTGGAGTTGGAGCATTGATCCTCTGTCCAGGTCACATTGCTCTAGCGAGTGCCAAACTTGTCCAAGTGCCATCGCCTGCACGAAATGCACACATGTAGGTAGCCGGAGGAAAGCATATCGCAAGATGTAACGCCAATTATTGGACGCAGCTCTCCAGAAACCGCAAAATTTGCAGAAAAGCAAATCGGGAAGTGTAATGAAGCCAGGTACTGTACACAGCACAGTATGTACACTACACGTACACGCCATGGTTACGACACTTTACCCCCCAGCGTTCTATTCGATGGACATGTACATCATGAGTCAGCTCGCCCGGCAGTTAACAAGACAGACAGGCTGCTGTGCTCTGCGTCGAACCATTCTGCTGTAGATGTTGCTTATTTTTCGTGTTTGTTCAGTTCTACTCTCTATTTTCGATAAGCTTTCTAAGCTGGAGAATATGCTAAGCTTAGCTTAGCATATTCTCCACTTCTCGCCTAAATGCATTTCTATTTACTAACCACTATGAATCTAACCTCCATTCAAGTCGCTTATATACGCGACTGACTCATACCTTTACTTTTCTCCACCACCTCTCTCTCCCCTCTTAGCGTCTACCTTGGGCACTCGGATCGCTTTTCGCCTTCTGCTTGAGCCACCGCAGCGTGTAGAACTTATCAAACGCGTACAGCTGCAGCGGGTCTCGTCCAAATTCCTTTTCGTAGTGCTCGAACAGCCACTGCAAGATGGTTATCTCGTCCGATGTCGTGGCGTTCACGAACGCCTTGGACGAGCAACCCTCTGACCGCTCGTTATGCAGGAACAACATCAACTCGAAGCGGCCGCCTGCTGCAGCTTCGTCCATTGCCGCTCTCGTACAACCCTCGCTACGATTCGTATGCAACCACTGGACCACTTTTAGATGGCCCTTAGCTGCGGCATTATCCATCGCAGCCGTCGTGCACCCTTCCAGTCGATTAACGTGCAACCATTGTACCACTTCGAGATGACCTCCGCCCGCTGCTCCATCCATGGCCCCGGTAGTACATCCTTCCTTGCGCTGCGCATGCAGCCACTTTAGAACAGGTAAGTGGCCGTGTGCCGCCGCTTGGTCCATTGTATCGGTAGTGCAGCCCTCTTTGCGCTGTGAATGAAGCCACTGCACCATTCTCAAGTGTTCATTGCACGCAGCATCGTTCATAGCTCCGGTAGTGCACCCCTCCTTTCGGTTCTTGTGCAGCCATTCCACCACGTCCAAGTAGTTCGTTCGAGCGGCACCATCCATCGCTGCAGTAGAACAACCCTCCCTCCTGCACTCATGCAGCCACCGCACAACTTCCAGCTTGCCATTCGTAGCAGCACCGTCCATCGCTCGCGTCGTGCAGCCCTCCTTGCGGTTCAGATGCAACCATTTAACCATATCCAAGTATCCGTGCGTCGCTGCCTCATCCATCGCAGCTTTGGTACAGCCCTCGCGTCTTTTAGCATGCAACCACTGCACCAGTTCGAGATGACCATTAGCTGCAGCCATGTCCATCGCCGCTGTTGTGCACCCTTCCTTCCTGTTCTGATGCAACCACTTTACAACTGCGATATGACCGTTGCCTGCAGCTTTGTTCATCGCCGCAGGTGTGGCATAACCCGAGTTTGCCTGAAGCCACTGCAGAACGTCGAGGTGGCCATTCGCAGCGGCGTCGTCCATTGACGCGGACGGCGTGGGGGTGAAGACGTTGCCCCGCATCCACTTCAGCACATCCAAGTGTCCCTCGCTAGCTGCGAGAACCGAAGCGTAGGACGACTGCTCGCCGCGCACTTCGCACAGCCACTTGACCATGGCTAAGTCTCCATTCTTCGCTGCCTCCTCCAGCGTCACGAAGAACATATGCGTCGGCGTAGGGTTAGTGTGCTCCTGCAGCCAATTCACGACGTCCAGGTGTCCATTCTGGCCCGCGTAGAACAGCTCCCTCGAGCCCCAGAACACTTCCAGTGGAGACTATTGGGGCGATGGAGCCATTTGAGGACGTGCAAGTGTCCATTCTTCGCTGCCTCTTCGACCGCCAGCGTCACATAGCAGCCGGGGAATTGCCCAACAAGCCACTGCATCAGTCTCAAGTCGCCCCTAGACGCTGCATGTGCGAGACCGAGCGTGAAATACCGCTGTCGGAAGAACCTGTCGTCCCGCTTTCGTAGAGTTAAAGCTGCGTGCATGTCGTGAGGAGCATTCTTCTTTGACTTCGACTTCTCGTTCTTCTCAATAATCTTCGCTGCTCTTTCAGCCTCGACTGCTTCGTGCATCATCACGCGCTGAGCCAGCCGTAGAGCTCCATCTTGGAAGTCAAAACCGCAGGCGTCGGGGAGAGACCATCGCACTGAGTGGTCTATGAACTCGCTTATCGTGTCCATTGCGCGCGGAAGAGCTGCAACGCGACAGTGAAGATTGCACATGACGACGACGGACGTCACCGGGTCGGGGGGATGAAGCATGGCGACTTACTGCTCGAACCTGCCGAGGGGGCGAGACAAAAACCGTTAATGGGGTGGACAGCGCGTTATGTTGAGTCTGAGTTCTTTTTTGACACGGGTGGGCGAGGCGAGACTGCCGGGCTTCCTTGGCGAGGAGAGGTGGATAACCGATCAAGATTTGAGCCCTCCGAGCGATGGCAGTAGCACCAGTTTTGCATTGGAAAAAGGACAAAGTTCACTCTTGGGGCACGTCAACACGCAACGAAAACACCTGGAGCCACAAGAAGTTGACGAATTCCTTGAATTTACTTAAAGGACGTTCTGTATGGAAAAACGTTTCCAGCTCAATGCTGTCGGTGTAGCCGCATGTTTGACTCATTTCGCCTGCTATAGCCCGCGTTCCCGCACGTCGATAGTGTCTGTATTGCGATCTAACCTTTAGTTATAGTAGGGACAGTAAAATTTAGTTAAAACTGCCTTGTTTCCTGCAGACTCGCTCTCATGTGAATTTTCATTTTTTACACTTACATGGAGTTCCGTGCGACCCACCGTATACGTCGTAATGACGTGCACTTCAAGTGTCATGAAACCCTGTGCAACACAGCAGTTAAGGAGTTAACTCTTCCACTTTCAATCCCAGTACACAATCGTGTCCACATCATGCCAATTATCCGTTTTGGACAATGGTGAAAATCTCCAGTAGCAGCTGTTGTACAGTACGTAAAGTGAAAATTTCGTTCGAGAGCCGTATTTACATACAGATAAGCAGGCCGCACGACACAATCGTGCATTTTTCGTGGCGATCCAATAGCTACATGCACCATGGTAAGTTTGAGTGGATTGCACGAGGTATCCTCCTTACCTCTGTCTTAGTAATACTTCGTATTGCTGTGACCCTAATGCTAAGCGGAAAAAATGGATTATATCTTCTCTTTTACAACTATTACTAGTAATTGCTTTGGCTTCAGAAATGAAATTGTTCCAACTGGCATCGCCGTTTGCTCTTCGAGAATGAAAAAGCTCAAAGCTCAGTTTAGATCCGAAAAATTTCATTGTGTGAACGAAGTTCGTCATTCCACAGCACGTAAACCTCGGATCATGCAACGCCGGAAAATAGTACTTCAATTTATAACACGAAGAATGTGTTGTCAAGGTTTTCTGCCTGCTCTAGTACTTTTTGATGCACGCAGATGCCTTCAAGTTCGTTGTACTAAGTATAAACACACCTCAGGAAGTGACAGTCGTGGCAAACGCATAGAGTGCTTTGCGAGCAGTTACCTAGAACCACTGTACTACTGAAACATGAGTACATGTAATACTCGAATACTCTAGCGCACATAACAATAAAAAATACACTAAAAAGCAACAAAGTTCAGGTTTGACAACTTATTGGAAAACGCAGACTGCTCCGATATAGAGCGCCTTGGATTTTTTCATAAATATAATACTTGATCTACGTAATTAAAAATTATATCTTACGCATTCAGTTGGTGAAGGCATCGTCAATTGAGTTTGTCCATCACCTTCTCCATCAAGGACATGAGCCTGTCTTGCATGTTCATCGCCTTTTCCTGCATGTCCAGTGCTCGCTTTTGGAGTTCGATCGTCTGTCGCTGGATGTCTTGCTGCTCTTTAGTCCTGGCGTGCTCTTGCTCACGCTCTTCTCTGTGTCGCTCGCTTTGCTCCGACACGAAACGCTGCAAAATGGTTTCAAGCTCCAGCTTCTGCCGTTTCCACGCAGGCTCCGTGACTTCCTCCGAGTCGTTATGATCTGCTGCTGGTTTAGTAGCCGAGCGATCTTGGGCAGCAGTCGGAGTTAACGACGCCTCCTCTGTCTGCACTGAGATCTCACGCGTATCTGAAAATGTCGAAGTTTCAGTCGTTGACGCTTCATCAACGTTCGTCGATGATGAAGCCGGCTCTGACATCTGCGTTGATGCGGTGATAAGTTCTCGCTCTGGAGGAAGGTTCGCGACTGCGGCAGCTTGCACTAAATCCGTTGCATGACTCCGAGACCATCCAGCAGATGCAAGCACACGTCCAGCCACTTCTGGACGGTTCGTTGCAGCACGGCCGTCACCATTTTGGTCGTGTTCTGGCTCGAAAACTTGGTCATCATTGGTTTCGCTGTCTTGGCTTCCAGTCCCCGGCTCGGTAGATGGATCGTCAGTGTCGCTAGAGTCTTGTTCTTCTTGACCATCCAGTTTCCTGCAATACTTACGCAGCAACTTTTGCTTCGCCGACAGACGTGCTGGATCCGTTTTCAAACTGCTCGCCTCCTTTCTATGGGTATCAACCAGCAGTCGAAGATGGGTGCGAAGTGTGTGAGCATTGGCATCGAAGCCGTGACTATTGAAGGACGTTGTGATGTCCTTCCAAGACGGTTTTCTCGCCCCAGAGGCCATTTCAACACCTCGGTCTGCCAGCACAGCGGTCAATAGCAATACATCGTGTCGGTCTTGGAAGAAGAAGCGTCTTTTGCGGGATTTCCTGCCACTTCCAGGGGTGGATTGCACCAACACAAAAGATGTCGAAGTCGATACCAGTTCAGCCAGTGGTGGCAGGGAGAGACGTCGAGGTCGTTGCTCTGTTGCAGCAGCACGATCCGAGTCTGAATCCGAGAAGTTGTGAGTCGGATTAGAATGTGCTCGTGGTCTTTGAGTCGTTCCAGTGTTCTGTTGCTCCATTTGAGCTTCTGCCTATGCGTACTGGTCCAGCAGCCGCTCCAGCTCTGTCAAATCTGTTGTCCCGTTTTGCACATTAGTTTCGTCATATCTAAACTCATATCATATGACCAAACTAGAAATTTAGTAGAAAACTGCACACCTGATGTCTGCTTTCCCTGTGCAACTTCGTCCTCGAAATTGTCCACTAGGCGCTTCTGTCGACAGCGAAGCGTGTGGCTGGATGCTATGATTCCCTGGCGGTTCAACTTCGTCGCCACGGCCTCCCACCCGGCCGTGCGCTCGCCGCGATTCAGCGATAAGACAGCGTCCCGGTCGTCCAGCAGCGTCCGGACGAATAGCAAGTCGTCGCGGGTGCGGAAGAAGAAGCGCTTCTTGCGCGCCTTGGGCGCCGGGGTCGAGGAGGTCGACGATGTGCCGCTCATATCGCCAATTCGGAAATAACGGCTCAAAAGTGCAACTTTTATATGAGCTGGAAAATATCGGACCAATCATATCTCGTAAATGACAAATTGATCAGCTTGCACTGCGGTTAAAAAAAACAATGTGCCTTTTGTAATCGCTTAAGTGCTTAGAATGTCCCGCAGTCGAGTCAACTATGATACCATGAATCCTTACGACTACGCCAAATACGCTGAGATTTATTGACGTTCATGTAGTTTCTCTGGAGGAACAAATTAACACAGTTTAACTGCATCCGTTCGCGCATCACGTTCTACCAGCACTTTCACCGTCAGTCTGTTATTATTTGCAACGGCTAGCATCAGTGGGGTATCTCCGTTATCGTTCCTCAAGTCGATCGTAGCTCCACGATCCAGGAGCCTGCAAATAGCATTAATTTGTCCTGTTGTACTTGCAAAGTGAAGAGCAGTAGCTCCATCTGGGCCCTTCTGGTCAACGCTTACCCCCATGCCCAGTAAATACTCCACCACGGCGACTTGTTCTTCAGCTTGCAAGGCAAGCATCAGCGGACTCCAGTCTTTGTGGTTGGCTAAGTCGACAGCAGCTCCGTGGCGAATCAGAATTCGAACAGCGTTTAACTTGCCGCTCAAACAAGCAAACTGCAAGGCTGTACCCCCATACCGATTCTGCCGGTTGATGAAGGCCCCTCTTTGAATAAGGAGCAGCATTATGTCGGCATGGCCCCGCCCGGCAGCAGTCATGAGCGGCGTCCAGCCTCTGTAATCAGGAGTGTCAACATCACTGGAGCTCCTCAATAGAGTTTCCACCAGTTTTAGGTCCCCTTTATCGCATGCAATTCGAAGCACTGTGTCATCACCCCGACATTTGTGGTCAATTGTTGTGCTGGTATGTGTGGTATTGGCGGCAGCTGCATCCAAGTCGCTTGTTTCACTTGTGTCGGCGGAATTTCGCGCATAGATTAGATGCACCAACTCGAGATACCCGCTAAAAGACGCCACCGTCAGCGCTGGCCACCTTTGAAAGTCACCACATAAGTTGACATTCGCTCCGTTATCGAGAAGAATCCGAACGACGACCAACCGCTTGTACCAAACAGCGGTAATTAATGCTGTACTTCCACTAGGCAAGCGAGCGTCAACGTTTGCGCCTCGATTCACTAAAAACTGGACAATGTCCGAGTATCCAAACTGGGCGGCAGTAATTAGCGGAGAATAACCTTCGTCGTCCACTAATTCAAAGTCGGCTTCAGCATTCACAAGCTCTACAACAGCGTCAAAGTGACCATGCTCACACGCTAAATACAGCGCTGTTGCTCCACCCGTACGCTGTCTGTCAACTCGAGCACCTCTCTCCAGAAGGAATCCTATTATATCGGCATGTCCTCGTTCTGCGGCTCTCATAAGCGCCGTCCAGCCACCATCCGTTTCCAGCTCAATTAATGATCTGCTTTTGACGAGTAAACGTACAACATCTGAATATCCACGTAGACACGCGATGGTCAGAGCGGTGGATCTATCTGCATCTTGCTGATCAACGAATGCTCCATTTTCCGATAGCAGAGCAACCACACTGGTGTGACCATTTTGCGCAGCACTCATTAGTGAAGTCCGACCTGTGTTGTTGGCCAAATGCACTGAAGCATCATAGTCCAAGAGAAGCTCGATCACGTCCACGTGGCCGTCTACGGAGCCCCACATTAGTGGCGTATTGCCAAAGTGATCAGCAGAATCGACTATAGCCGCGTGCTCGAGAAGAACACGAGCACATCCGGTCTGTCCGTTCTTACAAGCCAATAGTAGAGCTGTGGCCCCGACAGCGTTTTTCACCTCGAGATTTGCTCCATGGCGGATGAGCAAATTAATCATCCCTTCGTCACCTTTCCATGCAGCGATCATGAGTGGGGTATTTCCGCCGCTATTACTCAAGTCGAGCGACGATCCTTCATCAAGTAGAACCTCTGCAACGCTGATGTGACCTTCATGACATGCGATTTCAAGAAGTGTCGCGCCATTCGGGAGCTGGACGTCGATGCAAGCACCTCTTTGAGCCAGCAATTTCACGATAGCACCATGACCATTCTTACAAACAACTGCAAGTGGCGTCCAGCCTGCCTTATTAGCCAAGGATATCGCCGCACCATGGCTCAGAAGTAATTCCAGCACATCATAGTGCCCATTTCCTGCTGCCCACATTAGCGGAGTATTGTCATTGGAGTCCACCGAATCTAAATCCACGCCGTGCTCGACGAGATACTGAGCACTCTCCATTTGTCCGAGGTAAACGCAAGAGTCAACGCTGTAGCTCCCGTTGTATTGTTTAATTCAGCGTTTGCTCCGTTCTGCAGAAGAAATTCAACCACTTTGGTATGATTATTCCAGGTTGCAGCCATGAGTGGCGTCTCGCCCGTGTTGTTTGCTACGTCAATTAGCGCGTCATACTGGACAAGTAACTGGACAACGGGAAAATGCCCCCGTTCACACGCGATATACAACGCCATGGCCCCGTTCGGTCCCTTCAAATTGATCTGTGCCCCTCGCGCCAGTAGCAGCGCTACCACGTCGCATCGATTGTTCCGTGAAGCGATCATAAGTGGAGTCCAGTTATCAGTATCAGTGAGATCGATAAGAGCACCGCTCGAGAGCAAAATCTCCGCAACATCTACGTGGCCCATTGCACAGGCGATAGCAAGTAAAGTCGCACCATTTGATACTTGCGTGTTGACATTCGCCCCCCTCTCCAACTACAGCAAGTGGAGTCCACGCTTGACTATCAGCGAAATCTATCGGAGCTCCCTGATCCAGCAGGGCTTCCACAGCCTCTATGCAGCCATTTTGACTCGTTAGCCATAACGCACTGGCACAGATTGGACTGTCTTCCTCAAATCAAAGTCTTTAGACTGCAATGTCTTGGCCATTTGCGACGCCCGTCCGGTAATATCCTTGGATTCAAGTAACTTATCCATATTCTCTGTAAGCCCCTCAACCGAGTCAGCACGCCCTTGGTCGTCGTTCAATGTCCTATTGACGTCCTTCGCAGAGCATTGAGCGCCTTCCACTGTCTTGTAGCCATTTTGCTCGGTGGAGAGTGTCCGAGGTCTCCCTCGATCACACGCGAAGCTAGCCATTTCGCGACTGCTATCCGGATAGCAGCACGCCGCCACCAGTTCTATTCGACGGAAACTCGCAGTGACGAAATGTCGAGTGATGATTTGTACCCATTTCATTCGGATACTGTTCCATTCACAAAACAAATCGCCCGAGATATCCTATCCTGAATCAGGATTCAGGATTCCTGATCCTTCATTTTGAGTTTTGACGGCCTTGCCCATGGAGATTTCCAGTGTTGAAGCGGAGCAGGATCACTCGGACCAGCACGCGGCGGACGACCTCAACGCCGTTAAAATGGATGCCACTGAGCTGCTGGAGACTTGTCGACTGGGGCACGTGGAGGATGCGCGGGGGCTTCTAGCTGCTGGCGTGGACATTGAACAGCAGGATGGGAACAGAAGTACCCCTCTGCATACTGCGGCCCAGTACGGACACGTCGCTGTGGTCAAATTGTTGCTGGGCCATGGGGCACACGTGGACAAGCTGAACTCAGATGGACGTACCGCTTTACACATCGCGAGTCGATGTAGCCATCTTGACGTCGCTCGTGCTCTTATTGAGAGTGGCTCGTCCATCGATTTACAGGACGCTAATGGCTCAACCTCCCTAATGCTGGCCAGCTTGCAAGGCAATACGGCTATTGTGGAGTTACTATTGGAATGCGGAGCGTCTGTCGACTTAATAGACAAGTACAACCGGACGGCTCTGATGAACGCGGCGCAAGGAGGCTTTACTGACGTGGTGCACGTTCTGTTGCGGCGTGGGGCCCAAATTGACAAGAAAGACTCGAGTGGGAACACCGCTTTGTTCCTGTCGAGCTTAAATGGACGTCTTACAGCGGCTCAAGCGCTCATCGACGGTGGCGCGTCGATTGATGTACAAGACATGTTCGGCCGGAGTGCGCTGATGTGGGCTTGCTTGCTACGCAAAACTGCGGTGGTGGAGTTTCTAGTGGAGAACGGAGCGTCTGTCGACTTGGTGGATGAAGATGGGCTGACGGCGCTAACGATCGCGTCGCAGGAAGGGCACACGGAGGCGGTGCGAATGTTGATGAATAGAGGAGGGAAGGTGGACGACGGTCACTCGGCTGAAGAGGGCAGAGAGTTTGCTATCGACTCGTTGGTAAAGGCTGCAGAGAGGGGGAACATGGACGTTGTAAAGCTGCTTCTAACTCGCGGTGTCAGTGTCGACTCCCGCGGGCGCAACGGAGTGACAGCGCTGAACATCGCCTGCGAGTACAATCGATTCAACATCGCTGTGATGCTGGTGAACAACGGGGCCGACGTCGAATTGGCTGATGATGACGGATACTACCCGCTGATCACTGCGGCACAGCTAGGCTATGCTGATGTTGTGCAGTTCTTGGTTTCGAGGGGAGCTGATGTCAATGCGCGATTGCCGAGTGGTGGGACCGCCTTGCATACTGCCGTGTGGTACAAACGACTGGAAGTTGTCCGGATTCTTCTCGATAATGGAGCGGATACAAGTTTCCGTGGGGACTTTCAGAACTGGCCGGCGTTGACGATTGCCTACATTAGTGGATACATCGAGTTTTCCCAGCTGATCTACGAGCGCATGGGGCCGAATTTTGACTCGACGGAACCACAGTCTTCGCCTTACGCGGTGACAGCCTCAACCATCAGCCCTCGCAATTTGTCGATAGACAAGAAGCTTCGTAATGGGGATACGGCGCTTCGAGTTGCGTGCGAGCAAGGCGATTTAAGGAAGGTCAAGCAATTGCTACAGTATCGCGATGACATTAACAAAGCCGACGCCAAAGGGGAGACCCCGCTAATGGCAGCAGCTGGCCAAGGTCACGTCGAATTGGTGAATCTACTGCTTGAGGAAAGGGCCGAACTCGATCGAGTCAACATCTACGGAGACACTGCATTATCAATCGCGTGTCGAGATGGGTACCGAGACATGGCTTTGGCTATGATCCGTTCGGGTGCAGCCGTTGACTTTCAAAGTCCAAGCGGAGACCACGCGTTACTCGCTGCTGCTGCGGGAGGGTTCGTCCCTGTCGTTGAGTTGCTGTTGGCCAACAAAGCGGTCATTGATCTGGCAGATGGCGATGGGTTAACGGCCCTGATGTCCGCGTCGAGAGAAGGAGGTACGGAAATGGTGCGCGTGTTGTTGGGGCGCGGGGCGAACGTTGATAAGCCGAGCTCAGATGGAAGTACGGCTCTGCATATTGCCATCAAGTACGGACATCTTGATGTCGCTCGTGCACTTATTGACGGCAGCGCATCGCTCGACTTGCAGGACACTAATGGACTAAGCCCATTGATATTGGCTAGTTTGATGGGAAGTGTTGCTGTTGTGGAGCTGCTACTGGACAACGGAGCATCCATCGGCGTGGTAGAGGAGGATGGCTTCACTGCCCTGATGGCTGCGTCACAAGAAGGACACACGGAAGTCGTGCGCGTGTTGTTGAAGCGTGTTAATTTGAGCAGACATCTAATCGAGGGTAGCGCCGTGATTGATTTACAGGACTCTTGTGGGTGGAGTGCGCTGATGTTGGCTAGCTCGCAAGGCAACATTGATGTTGTCAAGTTGCTATTGGAGTATGGAGCGTCGGTCGAGTTGGTAGACGATGAAGGGTTGACGGCTTTAATGATCGCGTCGCAAGGAGGACACGCGGAGGTGGTGCAAATGTTGCGTGGATGAATAAGCCGATGTATTTTATCGATGAAGGGAGCGCATGGGCATATGCCATGCTCATGAAATGCAGTCATATGGTGTTCGTGCTCGCCTTCACAGTCATCAGCACGCGAGTGCGACGGAAATTTGTTGACGCCGCAGCAGAGAATTGAAAGACGTCCGACACACCGGAAGTGGCGCTCACACTCGAATGGTTCGGCTTCTCTCAGTCGCTGGGACCCTCTTAAAAGTGGTGCTGCTGGTACGAATCACGCGACTGTCGTCCACCGGCTCGTCCTACTCGCTCGCACTCATCCGCCCGGTGATCAACATGTGCGTGTTCATACTCACTTGTTGCTGCTCGGCCTGATCGTCGTGCTCGACACCATCACGAGGTGCAGGGCAACCCGCCACTGCCAATCTGAAGATCAGCCTGTCGCCCCCTGCACGGGCTGAATTGGGGCTATCCACTTCAACCCACTACATCGTCGGAGGAGAGAAGTTCTGCTGATACCGCAAGACTGTAGCGCTACATGTAGCGGTATCACGAACTGTGTGAATTGTATGGTTATCTATGTGTCTCAAGGCGGGTTAGGGATACCAGCCGGAGGAGGGGGGCAGGTGAAAGCGATTTCCAGGATTTCACAAATTCGCCCCTACCGCCTTTAGCTTTCCAACGAGCCCAACTTCACTTAATGATATTTCGTGCAGCCTTCAGGCCGTTCCGTTTCCTAGAGCACTGGTGGAACTTTGGAGATTTGGCGTGGTTGACCTCCGTCCCCGCCCAGCTGCCAGACTGGGCCAAAGTATGGCCATGATAAAAACACGATTTGCATTGGGGTGTTTTTTGCGGTATCAGCAGCCAGAGCGTCGGAGGAACTTCTTTTGCTGATTGTTTGGTTTCGAGCGGACATCTCATCGAGGACAGCGCCGCGATTGATTTATAGGACTCTTGCGGGTGGAGTGCATGATGTTGGCTAGCTCGCAAGGCAACATCGATGTTGTGAAGTTGCCATTGGACTATAGAGCGTCCGTTGACCTTGATAGACGAGGATGGGTTGACGGCTTTAATGATCGCTTTGCAAGGAGAGCAACGGAGGTGGTGCAAATGCTGCGTGGATGAACAAGACAAAATAGTATCGATGAAGGGGGCGCATGCCACGCTCATGAAATGAATCCATTTTCTTTTACGCAGCATTATCCCCACATGTGACGCAAGCTCGAGTTGTAGCCACCTTCATAGGCGTCCGCCGTACCCAAGAAAGTGTACTGCTCGTAGGTTGGCGGTGTCAAATTGAGCGGCGGCATCTTCTCCAGACAAGACTTTTCCAGTCGCTTCAAGTCTCCTGCATTATTGATGAATGACTCGAAGATCTCCATGCCGCACGTTTTACTCGAGTAGTCATTGTCAACGAGGAATGTCCAGACAACCGATCCGTGCACGGTGTAGTTAAACGTGACCAATTCCTTGTTGTCCCCTTCAAGCGCATCCAACAGATACTCGGCGTATTTGTGGGGCGTCTTGGCGTCCATTTTACTGCTCAATAGTAGCACGCTGGCGTGACTGGGAATTGCGACGGTCTTGTTCCAGTATTGGTCGTGCTCGTACATGATCGCGTTTGCGTCGTAGTTTCCCACGCCCAAATCATTGCACCACTGGGACTTCTCCTTCGAGAAGGCATAATACACCGAAGCTTGCTTGTACACGGATCCATCCGACAGCTTCGTGCTGGCAACCCGTGCGTTCATCTCATCAACCGACGGTCCTGGAATCTCCCACATCTCGGAGAACGCAATGACGTAGAACAGCAGATTCGAGTAGTACGGGTCGCTCTGGCCCATGTAGTTGCGGTCATCGTTCAACACGTCGAAGAAGTTGTTGATGACATCGATATCCTCAGACGCACAGCGACTCAGTCGGTAAACAAGCGGTGGAATCAGAGATCGCTGCTTCGGACTTGTCAATATATACCCCAGAGCCTCCCGTAGCTTGAAAGACGGCTCTAAGTTGCTCCATTCGCTAGTTTTACTGTTCACCAGCGCAGCACATGTGGCGTTTGGGTTTTTGTCGAATTGATCCAGGACGTTTCCAAGCGTGGTGGGCAAATTGTGCCTCGAAAAATGGGAGCTACAGACTCGATCCTGGTAAAAAAAAAGCCCAAGAAGCAGAGGTCGGAAAACAATATTGCAATACAGTAAATAATTGGGGTTTCCAATAAAAATCTTTATTATTGGACACCCCCGGTTCCAATACAATATCATATTGACCCAATTATTGACAATAAATATGATAAAAGTCCTCTGGCATAGGATTTTGACTGATGATGTTAAATTCTAGTTGCTAGAGGCGTGAAACACTTCCTTAAATGCCACATTCGAGTAGCGGCTACATATAGTTTTTTTTTCCTTGAAGACTGTATTGTCACTTAGCTACTAGTAGCTTACTACTCCTGTCTACCACCAACTAACGACAAAGCAACCTGGCCCCGCTTGTGCTAGAAACGTCACGTGCAGGGTGGCCCTCCGATTGCGGAGAGTCCGATGAAAATCTAAAGCGCGACCTCAGAGAGGACAGGTGATCGATCTCGCCACCCACGAGGTTCGGCAGGCACAGGGCACGGGCCCTGCACCTACCTGAATGCGGTCGTAGTAGCCGCTGTCCCCTACATATAGTATTTGCCTGACCTATAAAAGTCCGGTATACTATTGGTGAGCTCGCCGATAGAAGCAGGTTTGAGCAAACTAACAGGACACCGGCCTCTATCATAGTACTGCAAACATGCAACTTGTTACTACGCGTAAATTGAACCTCAGGTTCACAGTGAAGCCTTCACTGTTAAAAGCTTGAATATCAAAACAAAGTATGATACTAAATTGTTTGCTTCGAGCGCTGATGATGTTGTCCTCGGCATGGATGAAGAAGGTGAGGACTCCCCACCTTCTCTCCCCTCTAAATCGATAACATCTATGCTCCAATACAATATAAATTACGGCAATATTTATTATTGTTTGTCAAAGAATTGTAATATTTATTAGGGCTTGACAATGATCTCAATACAATATGATACGGTATTGGCGAACCTCTGCCAAGAAGTGCTCCCCCACCTCACCGAAAGCGGTCTCATCCGTTGAAAAGTATGCGAACTCGTCCTCCGATACTCCTGACACGTAGGAAATGCCGTCCATCACGTACCCGACAACCTCGGGAGGGTCCAGATGCATGAGGCGCTCAACCAACGCCGTGCCGTAGCTCACCCCGAACACGATTGTGGTCGCGCCATTCGTGTATTTGGAGATGAGAGTCGCCAGATCAGTAGCGGCGCTTGTGATGGAGAAGCCAGCGAAGTTAGAGTACTTGAACGACAGCGACTGGGCACAAGCAGCTACTTCGGTAGCATCGATTTCACTGCCTTGTGGGGAACCGGGTGTTTGTACTTGTGCAGTGTCCCGTTGAGCTTTGCGTGCAGAGAAACCATCACGAACTCCACTAAAATGTTGCATTAAACGACGAACAAGGTAAGTTTAGTGCCAAAGTCCCCCAAGAAACAGCGTGGAATGATACTAACCGTCCGATGAAGGTTGCCCCGGTCCACCTGGCACCAGCCACACGTTGGTTGCCTTAGCGGCGTTGACGCCGACCGCCGGTAGACGCTTCACGAAGATGTCGATCATCGAGTCGGAAGTGTTGCAAATACCAGGGTCGCACCAGGGCGCCCTGTAGATAGCGCACTCCGCCTTCTGGCCGCGAGAAGTCCCGCCGTCCGAGAAGGTGAAGTCGGCGCATGAGCACCAGCCATCCAACTGTAACGGGTCTGCTAACGCCAGCTTGCCAGCGGGTCGTCGCTCGTAGTGCTTTTGCTGCGTCCTCGCCAAGGTCCGTTGTGGTAAGGATCTCGATACGGCAACTTCAACGCATGTTGGCCGACAGATTTCCACTTGAGTCCTGTGCCGGAACGCGTCCGTTCCTACTATTTGTATTACTACTCGTTCGTCAGTTAGTACTCGCACAACTCGTACAAAACGTTCGACTCGTTCACCTTGCCTAGATCCGACGCCAGCCGTAGCTAGCCTCACCCCGCACACTCATGCGTTATCAGTCTGTTGGCTGGCGCTGACACGCAGGTCTTCGCCCGCCTCACCCCGCACTCATGCACGTTCTGGTCTGTTGGTGTCTCCGCCATAGCGTCGTCACTAGCCGCACTTTACTCGTCGATTCGTCAGCTGGGCTGTTGACAACATCTCGCCCGCCTCACCCACTCGTCAGTCGTTCGTTGTCGGCGACAACCCGCGAAGGTCGCCCCTTGCTCAGTCGTCTGCGAAGGTCGTCACTCCTCACTCGTCTCTCATCGTCACCGGCTGCTCGTGCTCGCCAGTACTCGTCTTCTCGTCGTCTGTGGCCCGCGAGGTAGGTTCTTCACTGAGCGGTCTCAAGCTGACTGCGCTCTCTAGCACGTGCATCCACCCACTCAGCTTGAGAGCGGTCTCAAGCTGACTGCGCTCTCTAGCACGTGCATCCACCCACTCACCGCTCTCCGTCTTGGATCGCGTCTTCTCGTTCGCGTCCAGGCGACTACTGGTGCCCAAGAGCGGCCCTCGTACATCGCTACCGCCCGCTCCCTCGATTGTCGTCCCCTCCGTGCTGCAGATCTCGTCGTCCTGCTCGCTCGCTGTTTCTCGCTGATCTCATCACCCGGTACAGAGTACCATACCTGCTACACGCCTTCCTCCCCTTTAGAGTCTTCTACGACTCTAATGGTTTCGGAGTACGGCTCGGTCGCGTCACCCGAGCGCATACGCCAGCTCCATCTCGCCAACACCATCTTAGCCATCCACGTTGTGCATGCCCCAGCTCGATGGACGCATCGCACTTATTGGCCTCTCGAGCCGCTGCTCTCGTCGCTGTCGTACACCATCGCCGCTGCACCTTCGTCGCGTTCGTCTTCCTCCTCATCTCGGCATTGTCATGCGCAGTGTTGTGGACGTCACTGCCTTCGTCTCCACTGCCCATACTGTCCGTTCATCATGCCACTTAATCATTTCAGCATCGCTCTGCTACGCGTACTACTGACCTCTGTTCCACTCATCGGGTCGTGCGGCGGGTCCGTAGCATCGTGACACATCTACTTGCTCTCATGCATCGACACTGCACGTCAGCTTCTTTCGCATCCTCGCTCAGCGATCTCAGACACTCGCTCGTTCTCGTACGTCTTCCCGTCTCGTGGGTTTTCTACCTACTCCGAGGCAAGGGTGACGTCAGCATGGTGTCGTTGGGTTCGTGGTGAGCATGGCAGAGCTCTCCACCGCCTGTATAATTACTGCTCACGTTGCCCTCACCAATGCCACCAATTCATTTGCACCGGGTCGGCCGTCTTCGTTTATTAACGTCGTCTCTGGTATATCGCAGGCAGCTCTCCCGTACATCGTCGCGAACTTCTTCGTCTTGTTCGACACTATTATCACCAGCGCTCGCCGTAGTGTTCATCATCACATCATCCGTCGCTCCGTTCTCGTTCTTCCACGACTTTATCTCATCGCCCACGCCGCTCGCAATCTCCCACGCGCCTTCCCCAGTTTGTCGTACTGCTCAGCATTCACATCGCCGCCCACTAGTACTCGCCGTTGCCCCCGAGCTTCGTGTCATCTCCCTACTTGATCGTCTTCACTTCAGCGCCATCTCCGTGCCCGTGGCTTCCGTAGAGCTCGTCTCCTCCGTCACCTCCGTCCCGTAGGTGGTGTTCATCGACTCCGCCATACGAGGTCATCACTCTACTCGTAGCTCGCAGGTTGCTTGTTGCCACCGCCGTCGAACACATACCTGCCGTGCAGCGGGGCTGCCGTAGCTTTGCGTCAGAGGAAGCTTAACAGACTCGCAGAGTCTCAACTTAAGATCGCCCGTTCTAATACCAGAACGTACGAGTCCGTACACCCTACGGACTCCAAGAGTCAACCCTAGACTCTTAATGTATTTCCCTTTATTGCGGCCAAGCCGCCTACGGTGTAATAAATGTATCCGGTTCACTATCTAGCATAGTGAACCCTAGTCATATGCATAATCAGTGGCTCTGAAGCCATGTACTGATTCTCCTACTGGTTTAGGTTAGACAGTGTGTACCCACTTCATAACCCTTCGGGTAACTCTCGTGTAACACCGTTACACCCTCCTCACCAAACCGTGGACACAGGTGTTCACGCTTAACGGTCAACCTCCGGGTCTTGTTCCGTCAAGCCTCGAGTCAATCCACATCGCGTGGACTTCTCTGAGAACTTCTCGGCGCAACGCGCCCTAACATGACTTCAAGTCATAAAGCCTTTTGGTCTGTCGACCGCAGACAGCCTCTCGCGAGATCCGCCGCGGAGCCTCGCTCCTCTCGTGCTGCTGCACTGCGTGCCTCCGCACCTCCGCGAACGCCAGCGCCCGCGCGCACACCCTGGACGCCTTCAAGGCTCTCGGTGTCCGAGTACTTCGCGGCGCAACGCCTGAAGCGCAGCTCGCAGCGCGCAAGCCCCAGCTCTCCTCGAGCACCAACCCGTCAGATCATGGATCCTAGGAAACTCTCTGGTGAAGAGGGCGAGGTGGACGAGTCCATGGAGGGTTCTCCGAACCGAGGAGATGCGTCCCCACTCACGCGACGCTCCCCGAGCCGCGGCGACGCTTCGCCCACACCGTTGACACGCCGTGAAGAAGGCTCGCCGGCCCCAGTTGGCTCTCCGAGCCGTCGCGATCAAGAGCGCCCCGCGCACACGTCTCCTGTGCGCTCACCGAGCCGTCCACCGGCAGAGCGCGCTGCGCCGTCGAGGGAGGAGCCGCGGCCACCGCTGCGAACTCCAAACCCGTTCCCTGAACGCTCTTCCGGCCTCTACGAGCTGCGCGCCCTCCCTGAGCCACGGTATTCGCCACCTCGTGGTGAGGGCGTGCCCCTGGGCCCCGTCATTTCCAACCCTTTGGACGAAGCTCAGTCCGAGCAGGTTGCGGCGCAGATGGCTCCCACGCGCTCCCAGCGCCCCGAGCTGCGGCCTCTGCTGAACCCCAGCACTGCCGACTACAGCTTCGGACCTCGCGACCCCGCGGAGGCTTGTCGCCAGGCGTTCCAGCAGTCTCTCGCGCTGCACACCATTGGGCCCGCGGCCCGTACTCCGGAGGAGCTCGCACTGCGTACGTCTCTGCGAGAGCGGCTCCTCACTCCACCGTATACGACTGTCGCGGAGTATTGCGAGAGGCTGCGACTGCAAGCCCAGCAGAAGTCCGTGCCCGCCATGCGGACGTACCCGGTGGTACTTAGCCCGGGGGAAGACTCAATTGAGTACGAAGCTCAGTTCGAGTCTTGGGCCGAGCGCAGCCGAAAGCTCAGCTCCATGGACGCTCTCCGAGCCAGCTTCAGTGAAGTGGATGTTCGCATTGAACGCAAGCTCCGCTTCGATTTCGCGAAGGTCCGAGCCAATCGCAGCCTCTCGGCACTCGCCCAGCCGCAGACCCAGTTTAGCGCTGCGCGCTTCGCTCCTTCGAGCACTCCAGCCGCTCCTTCCCGCGAGGGAGTGAGCGCTGTGGCTCAGGGTCAGCCTCGGAGCAATGTGGCTGACCCAGCAGCTCCCCAGCTTATTGCCGGGAAGCGCGGGACGGCCGGCGTGCCGGCCTTGAGCCCTCGGGGCGCTGGTGATCAAGCTGATCAAAAGCGTCCACGACGTCTGGGCAGTCTTGGCGGAGGGGCACCTCAAACTCCCATGAGTTCTCGGAGTGAGGGTACCCTCGCCATTTCACCAGATACTGGTTTTGGCCCCGGCACCGCCGCTTCGCCAGGAGGCGCTCCACATGGTAATGTAGATTCCCATGCTCATCGAGCAGGGCCGGTGGAGGCCGCTGTGGGGCCCTTTGCGACTCAAAGTGAGCTCTTGGAGGTGCGGCAGCAGGCAGATCGCCTTCGGGATCATATCCATGACGTTGATGCGCGTCTGGGTCGGACTGCCACCGAACTCGACGAGCTCGCCGAGCGGACGCGATGGATCGAGGTTCCTCGAGCGGTCTGGGACCGCCTTGGGGCCCTGGAGGACTGGGTGCGATACTATCGCGATCGCGATGAGCAGCTTGGCCGGGAGCTCGGGGAGCTACAGCGTCAGCAGGCTGTGCTTCAGGGTCAGCTCGACCTCCTGGCCCGCATGCAGGCTCCGACTGCTGCGCCTCCTGCGCCTGCGGCTCTCGCTGTGCCCGCGGCACCTCCGGCGCCGATTCTTCCGCCTGTGCCTGCGGTGCCCACGTGGATGGCCGCGTCCTCGACGCCTGCGACTGCTTCCTCGACGACCGCGGCTTCCGCGCCTGTGACCTCGTCACCCTCGGTGCCTCCATCTGCACCTTCATCGGGTCCTGGTACGGCTTGAGCAAGCCCACGTAGTAGACGGGGTGCGCCCGCATCTTCTTCGGAAGATTGAGCGTGTACGCAAGGCCCTTCTTGACCACAACCTTGAAAGGTCCGATGAGTCGCGGGCGTAACTTCGTCTTGAAGACGGCTGACACTGCATGTGTAGGTAGGTTCTTAGCATTAAGCAACACCAGGTCCCCGACCTCATAACTTTCAGCATTGCCTGTGCCCCTGACATCTGCATGCTCCTTTTGCTTGTCTTGGCTCTCAGCCATTGCGTCACGCACATGTCGTAAGACACTCAGACGCGTCGACAAGAAAGCGTCAACCTGTTTACGAACAGTAGCCGGGCTGACATCGGCTAGCCGATCAGCTAAATCGGCTTCTCCTCCCCCACCAAGCCCGAGGCCACCACGTGGCGGCGTCAGCGGGACGCGGGGATGAGACAAGCTGTTCACGTAGAACGGCGTGTAGCCTGTCGAGGCGTGCACGGCGTTGTTCAACGCAAAATAAACGAGTGGCAGCATGGCGCTCCAGCGCTTCGGCGTTTCGGCGCAAATGCTGCGGAGCACGTCCTCGGCGACGCGATTCACGCGCTCTGTCTGACCATCGGTCTGCGGATGGTCCGCCGTGGACATGTCCAGCTTGATGCCAAGCACTGCAAAGACCGCGCTCCAGAAGTTGCCCGTGAAGCGGGGGTCTCGGTCCGAGACAATCGCCTCAGGGAGTCCGTGTTGTCGAAACACTCGGTCCAAGAACAGCGTCGCTGTACCTTTACCATCGATGGTATCCGGCACAGCCGCAACGTGAGCCATCTTGCTCAGTCGGTCCGCGAAGACTACGACTCCTGTGTTGCCCGCCGCGTTCGCCGGCAGGCCAAACACAAGGTCCATACTCATGGATTGCCAGCAGCTCGAAGGGACAGGCAAACTCGCCAACGGCGCTGCGGCATGAGGTGACGACTTCACTCTCTGACACGTCTCGCACGTGCGCACATAAGTGCTCGTCCACTTGTACAGCTTCGGCCACCAGTAGTGGGTGCTCACCGAGCTGTAGGTCTTCTCACGGCCAAGATGGCCGGCCAGCGGCGTGTCATGTGCCTCATAGAGGATGCGGTACTTTAGATCCTCATCATGAGGGATGACCACGCGGGGCGTATCCTCGGGGCCAGTGTTGTAGAACAACAGGCCTCCATCGAGGGAATAACGGTGTAACCGCGCGCGCAGCCGCGCTGACAATTCCATGTCCGAGTCTTGAAACTCCTTGCTCCCCGGAGCCTTTAGCAACGCGACACAAGTGTCGTCCTTGGCATAAGCCGTTCGGATCAAATCCGGTAATGACGAAGTCACGGTCGTTACATGAGCCAGCTCATAATCCGGCCTGCGCGACAGCGCGTCCGCAAGGACATTGTGCCTGCCGGTTTGTACTTCACCTCGAAGTTGTACTCCGCGAAGAAGGACAGCCAACGGGCCATCCTTTGCGAGAGGTGAGGCGACTGAGTCGCAGTGCGTAACGACGCATGATCCGTGTAAATCACAAACGGCTGAGAGCCCAACAGGTGCACCCTGAACTTGACGAGCGCATACTTCATCGCAAGTAGCTCTTTGTCATGGACAGGATAGTTCTTCTCCGCAGCCTTCAGCTGGCGAGATTCGAACGCCGCCACGCGCTCGCGCCCCTCGGCGTCTACTTGCAGCAGTGCACAACCGATGGCAAAGTCCGAGGCGTCACAGACGACACTAAACGGACGAGCGGGGTCTGGCAAAGCCAGAATAGGCGCATGAAGGAGACTGTCCTTAATGGCCGCGAACGCATCTTGATGCTCGGTGTCCCAACACCACTCCGCATCCTTCTTCAGGAGATTGGAGAGTGGCCGAGCCATCTCAGCGTAGTTCTCGCTGTACTTGTGCAAGTAATTGGCCAAGCCGAGCCACTTGCGAAGATCCTTCTGGTTCTTGGGAACCTGCCAGTCAACAATGGCCTTGACCTTGACCGGGTCGGCCCTCAGGCCACGCTTCCCGATGAAGCACCCTAAGAAGGGGATCTCTTCCGCTCCGAAGATGCATTTGTCAATGTTGGCGTACAACTTGTTTTTACGCATGCATTCGAGCACAGCACGCAGGTGCTCCATATAGTTCTCCATATCAGTCTTTCCGTGCTCCGCACGACTGTGGACAAAGCTGTCATCGAAGTACGTTTGCGCGTACGCCCGATGGGGCCTGAAGAGCTGCGTCACAAGACGATTAAACGTCGCTGGCGCGTTCGAAAGCCCTTGGGGCATCACCAACCACTCCCAGAGCATGCTGCTCGGAGTACTCACCGCAGTGAGAGGAATGTCGCTCGTCCTCATGAGCAATTGGTAATATCCATCGACCAAGTCGAGCGCACTGTACATCGTACATCCTGTCATGTTGTTCTGAAGAACATCCTTCCGAGGAATCGGCGTCTGCGCCGGAATGGTAGCGGCATTCAGCTTGTTGAAAGCATGCACGATACGCCACTTGCCATTCGGCTTTCTGACACAGAACGTCGGCGTAGAGCGTGGAGACTTACTCTCACGCACCATACCCGCCTCGTGCTTTGCACTGAAGAACGCGTCAATGACGTCACACTGCTCCTTCGGCAAGGGCCACTGCCTCGTCACGCAGTACTTCGTTCCCGGAACGAGATCGATTTCGTATCGAACACCTCGATCCGGAGGGCGGCTCCTTCGAGACCACGTCCTGGTATTCCTTTACCGCTTGATACAAGGGATCCGACGGGACTTTCAGGATCGCCGATCCGCTCCGCGCATTCAGCGCCTTCTTGGTGTCTTCCAGGACAGCTTCATCCAGAAGCGAGGACGAGTTCAACTCTTCTTCTGGTCGTATGACCACTACCTCAGCCAAGTCTCCAGCCTTCAAGGCTTCGCCGAACTCGGCCAAGGACATCTCGTCCAGCTCCAGGACAGCAGACAGTGAGGGCAAGTCGTCGAGGTTGATACCTCCGTCGACGTCGCCCGTCACTCCATTCACGAGTGTATAGAGCTGCTCGCTCTCGCGTGGAGCCTCACCGCTTGACACGCCCTTCTCGACTCGTGAGATCGCAGGCGCCTTGCGTCGCGCAGCCAGCGCTTTGCGGCGCTGCCTCCTCTTCATGGACACCGTCCGCCCTGAAGAGCTCCGTGATTTCGCATGCGTCTTGACGTCAGGTGTCACCACCTCGTTCAGCTCCAGGGGAGCTCCAGTGTCTTTACCGACACTCAGCGAAGAGCTGCACGATCCGCAGCCTCCACTCAGTGGATTACGTGCCACGCCACGATCTTCATTCGGGCAAAGCCCCTTGTCCATCGGCATCGCGCCGGCCGCGCCGTCGCTGGCACGCAGCAGGGCGTCGCCCTCAGACGCACGCCCGCTCAGCGGAATTAGTGCCGCTCCACATCCTTGATCCGGGCAACGCCCATCTTCACTCGACTTCCTGTCGACCGCGCCTTCACCGGCACGCAGCAGGGCGTCGCCCTCAGACGCACACCCGCTCAGCGGAATTAGTGCCGCTCCACATCCTTCAACAGCCGGGCCGCGCCCATGGCTCCTCGGCTTCATGCCGACCTTGTCTTCACTCGAATACAGCAGGGCGTCGCCCTCAGGCGCACACCCGCTCAGCGGAATTCGTGCCGCTCCACCTGCCGTCCGCGAGCCACGCTCGGAACGCTCGTTCTCGACACACTCAGTGTCCACCAACTCGGAAACTCCGATGTCCAGCACATTGACCGACTCGGTCCAGTGCTCGCGCCAAAAGCGCTTCTGCTTCCTAGCAGAGGTGGGTTCATGACTCGCCAATGCTCCGCCAGGAGAGAAGTGCGTAGCACCAAGGGTCTTCGACCTCCAATCGATCCAAGGCTCGTGGCGTTCCAGCCACGCCATACCAAGGATGAGATCATATCTCGAATCGAGGTACAGCGTTCCACGCTATCAAAATCCAAAAACTTCACGCCCAGGTCCACAGGGACCTTAGGCACCGTGACACGAGTGCCCGTCGCGAGACGAACAGTGACGATGTCACTCCCGCGCGCTACCAGCGCCTCAGCATAAAGCTGACTTCCGTCCATCGTAGAATGCCGGGCGTAGTTACCCGACGCTCCCGAATCGATCAAAATCGTCTATGGCTTTGTGAAGCCCTTCACCCAAGCTTGGACAACTAGCAAGCCCGGCTTGCATACACGTTCCGTGTTAGAGAGTACGGCTCTCTTCGGGGCTAAGTCCTGTCGACCTCCACCTCACCGAGGCTCAATAGAACTTAGTTCTTCCCCAGTAGGCGCGGGGCGGCCTACTGGGACTTCTCGTTTCCCCGAGACGAACCAGAGCCCTGGCTCAAACTCGAAGAGCGGCTTGACGAAGCCTGGCGCTGATGACGCAGCGGACACCCAGCACGAAGGTGACGGGTGTCACCACAGATGAAGCATCTGCGGACACCGCGACGCTGCTCAGCAGCACGAAGCTCGGCTTCTTCGTCTTCAGCATAGCTGAGGTCCATGGGTTCCGGACCATTCGACGCGCTAGCGTAAGACGCATTCCCCCAAGTCGCGACGACTTAAAGTTGTGTTCCGCATTCAATGCGACGCTCACAGCCTCTTCAAAAGAGCTCGGGTGCGTTCGGAACACCTCAGTCCTGGCAACGCCAGTGCGGAGGCCCTCCATGAACACCGTAACGGTGACAACGGGTCAGCAGACATCCCTGCAATGAGAGTTCTCAGCTCTTGGACGTAGTCCATCAACTCCTTCTTGCTCTGCCGAGTAGCCAGGAAGCGTGAGCGCACGCGATACGCCTCATTAGGCGGAGCGAACACTCGGGACAATTGCTGTTTCAGCTGGTCCCACGTCGGGAAGGCCACCTCGACCGACGTCCCGGACGTTAGTGCCACTCTCTCGCTCGCCCGCCGAGCTTCGAGATAGCTAGTGCCACGCGCTGCGACTCCGTCCGGAGTAGAGCTGAGCTCATAGCCATCTCAACCTCACGGGTCCAAAGCATCAAGCTTTCACCCTCCTTTCCTTCGAAGGTCTTCACGCTCAACATGAGCGGCTTGGGTCTTGTTCCCGCGTCGGACGACGAAGGGGGCGCTTGGGGCGCCGCGGCAGTCGCCATCCTCTGCTGGAGGTGCTCTAGCAGAGCATTCTCGTAGCTTGAAAACGCCTCGAGACGCGCGTTCACCGCGTCGGGGCCTTGCTGCGTAAGTTGCGTCACGCCCTCCGGGCCCAGCAAGGACACAAGCTTTTTAAGCGCATCCTGCTGGTTCGGG